AGAAGATTGAGAACGGCACAGAAAAGTTGTTCGCCGTCAAAGAGTTCCGTCGCCGGCCCGAGGAGACAGAAAAGAAGTACAGCAAGAGGCTGACTGCTGAATTCTGCATTTCCTCGTCGCTCCGACACCCCAACGTCATCCACACCCTCGACCTGCTCAAGGACGCCAAGGGAGACTACTGCGAGGTAATGGAGTTCTGTGCGGGCGGTGACCTGTACACCCTTGTCCTCTCGGCCGGCAAGCTGGAGGTGCAAGAGGCGGACTGCTACTTCAAGCAGATGATGCGTGGCGTCGAATACCTGCACGAGATGGGTGTCGCCCACCGCGATCTCAAGCCCGAGAACCTGCTGCTCACCACCCGTGGCGGCCTCAAGATCACGGATTTTGGCAATGGAGAATGCTTCCGCATGGCCTGGGAGACAGATCCCCACATGGTCTCTGGTCTCTGTGGCTCCGCCCCCTACATCGCTCCCGAAGAGTACACCGACAAGGAATTCGATGCCCGCGCCGTCGACGTCTGGGCCTGCGGTGTCATTTACATGGCGATGCGTACCGGCCGCCACCTCTGGCGCGTCGCTCGTAAGGACGAGGATGAGTTCTATGCTAGATACTTGGAGGGTCGTCGTGATGAGGAGGGGTACGGTCCCATTGAGTCTTTGCATAGAGTGAGTTTTATTTCCCTTTCGGTTTTTTGTCCCATCTAATGGTTCTCCAGGCGCGCTGCAGGAATGTGATCTACTCCATCCTGGATCCTAATCCGACCCGCCGCATCACGGCCTCACAGGTCCTCAAGTCCGAATGGGGCCGCGAGATCAAGCTGTGCAAGGCTGGTGAGGAAGGTCTCTGATCTACACTATTCGATTAAGTACTTCAATGTTTGGAGCCTTTCAACAACGCGGCGGAAAAACGGAAACGACCGGAAGACCAAACTGGTCCCACGATAGAGGATGCATCCGCACGAACAGGATGCACGACCGGCGGCCCTTTGAATTATCTATCAGCCTGCTTCGATTCACCCATTACACTTGTTTACCTGACGATTTACGACACCCCATGCGACCTCGTTATCGCGAGCATCGGCGTTTGGCGTTTTCCTCATCCTGCTTACGACACAACCTTCTGTTCAAACGTACATATGACACCCACACCCGTCTTCGGAACGGGCGATCGCAGAGCTATGCTACAGAGCCGGGTCTACACTCTTCTTGGGTCGACTGGGCCTAGCAGTCCCCAACCCCTACGGAATGAAGCCATAATGAGCGACGGGATTTGAGACGCACTGAAGGTGGGAACCGGCGGGCTTCGTGGATGGGGCAAGCCGGAGGGCCAGGGAGGGATGGATGAGATGGAAGGAACTGGGCAGGACGGACGCAGCGGCTTCTGCGTCTTTCCTCGGGCACTTTGGGGAGACTGCATGCTATGAGTGAGTTGTCGCTGGGCTCGCGCGCGGCAGGCGACTCTCTGGATATGACCTTGCGGTCTCCCCTTGACCTAATCCACTCGCCTTACTTCTGTAGTGAGTGGTTGTATTCTGAGCCAAAAGACCCAAAGAACAAAAATTTAATGAACAAGCAAAGAGGGGCGCGGCATGTGGGTGATCATTCTGTGACTGCTCGGTGTGTGTGCTCACCGAACTCTTTGCCATCAAATTTGCTACGGTCTTTGCGGTATGGCAGGCAAGTACCACTGGTCACAGCACAAGCTCGGGGGCGGTAACAGCACAGGTTGCTCCTCACAGGCATACAGAGGCAAGTATCGTCATCCGCTCACGTACGGGCTCCTAAATGAGCCGAGCGCCAGGGCAGAAAGGTTCTCTACGCGCGCCCACCTCTTCGTCCTGGAGGCATGACGCAGCGAAACCTTTTTCCTTATTTTCCGCCCTGGCATCTGACAGATGACGATTCCACGGGTGTGGAGGATAGACAATACGTCCACGGGAAGCAAGGTTTGACATTTCTGCCCTCTCCGGGCACCCGACGCGTCGTCCGGGAGGCAAGTCAAGACTTTGCTCGGGAGTCAGAAGTGCAATGCGGGACCCGCGCGACCTCCGTCCGTTGTCTGGCCGCACCGAGGCTTCCGGTTTGGTAGAGTCACCGCCTCGGCTTGGCAAACGGGCTCAGTCACCTCCATCTTCGTTCACTTGAGGCGGCGCCGTCTTGGCTGTCCATGTTGTTGAACTCTCTGGCCAGATCGTCTGAGAGGGAGAGTGTTCAGTTCACACAAGACAAGAAAGGCGCAGCAGGTTTCCGCCACGAGAGAACAGTGCCCTCTGCTTGGCACGTCTGGCGAAGACGAAGTTGTGTGTGGCATTTGCTAAGCTTGGCATCGCCTGACTGAGGGTTTTTCTTCATGCCCCAACATTGTCCTAGACATATGCACACACGCACACAGGCAGCTGTCCACGAGGACTGGGGTGCGTGTGCCTTGTTCGAAGGGTGGCGGCGGTCTGGATCCGAGTAGGTGTTATTCTCTGTTTCTCCCCGCAGCCACGATGGTGGTTGCCGCCATGAGGCGCGATTTTGGTGTCGGCCAGCACAGAACAGCACACCCACCAGAAATGCGCAGAATTCACACCGCCTCTCGTCGGTCGTCGCCAGCTCACCGAAGAGATCCTTCTAATCCCAGGAGGGGGGGGGACTGACTACACGAGATCCGGCAGCCTGGTAGACGGCGCGGCAACGCGGCACGCGGCACTAAACCTCTAGCACACCACACCTTGGATCGATCTCGGCCAGCGTCATCGACGGTGGCCGTTCCAGATGCACATATTGTCTCTGATTCCTTGCATTGCAGTAGAGGGGGAAAAACAAACGCTACTTGTCGAGTGCCCAACGTGGCGCAGCCTACCCCCTCCTACTTATCCCAAAGGTCACGAAAGCTTGCCCTTCCTTTGCTGTCGTGTCGTGGCTCCCTCTCTCTGCTCTACTTTAGTGCTGCAAAAGCCTAAAAGTCTTTGGGGATGCGATCCAACAGTGAAAGAAAGTCTAAAAAGATGCGCCAAAACACGCCGAGTGACCAGACCGAAACAGAACCGCAAGCCGATCGGCCCAGCCCAGCCAGCGTGCGTCCTGAAGAATGGAAACATGCCCTCCTCCCCCACTAACCCGCACACAGCCACACAGAAGACACGACAAAGGCAAGGGGAAGGGTGAACAAACACAACGAAAGCCGCCTGCACCTCCCGCATCCGCATCCGGGACCGGGGCTTCGGGGACGGAGACCTTAGGCCTCCGCCTTTCTGTCTGAAATACGTTCTAGTACAGCCCCAGAACAAAGGGAGGGGGATAGCCCCCGCGGGGTCCGAGACATACACCATCGGGGCGGAGGCGGGGTCCTACACCCCCGGCCGCCGCAGTCTGCGGTGCCGCATGGCCGCAGGGGTAAGGCATCATGGGGGCTTGCTTTTGCATATTCCCCCGGTGCGGGCCGAAGGGGAAAAAAGAAATGTGTGCGGGAAGGGGCCCGCGTGCATGGTGCCGAGCCGGCCTGGTCTCCGGTCTTTCGGGCCCGCTTGGTTACACCGGTGCGGCGGCCCGGTCGGTCGATGCCGGTGGTGGTCGACTGTCGCCGTCTTGGCTTACCTGCTCTGAGCTGTCCGGCTTGCATTGTGTCTTGCCTTGATGTAGTTTCGAACTGTTTGTAGTTGTAGTCGAAAGGTAAGTATGCCGCCGCCATGGACAAGTGACCGTATTATCGTCGTCGGCGACTTGGGCACACTCCCACCTGACGATATCTAGGCACCTTCGCAACATCCTTGGCTAGCATATCGGTAGACGTGTCTGTTCTCATGTTCAATATCCGATGAAGTCGGCACAGGTCGTTCTGAGCTGGCCCCCAAGATGGGCCCCCCACCTCGCCCGACGAAGCCACCCCCAACGATGATGATATGTTGCATGCCCCTCCCACATACGATCCCGCGTTGATACACTCTAGTTGATACCGGATGGTGGGCGTAACAGATGTGATGGCACCCTCGCTGGGCATCCAAATCTATTTCTTGCTGGGAATGGCGGGAACATCACGATAGCTTTTGCCTGAAGCCTCCAGGCTTAGGGTATCACAGAGTTATTTGCGTCCTTGTGCATCAGATGCATGAATGTGGGCAATGTCCGGCAACATCAGACAACAGTCCTCGTCGTTGTGTCTCCTCACTCACAATTTCACGTCAAGACGTAAATTTCACTGTGTGCAACAGATCAAAAACATAAACTGAACGGTAAGCCCAAAGGCTCTGTATATGCGTGCCAATTCTTCACTACCATTGCTCCGATATACATTGCCTAAGCCGGTAGAAACGCCGAGGTTGGCGGGCCGCAAAACGAAACAGACACACCGACACAATCGGCCCGCCTTCTTCCTCCTCCTCTCAGACGACCCCAAGATAATACATACAGAGACGGCTTCTCTCTCTCTGTTCGTGAATCTCGTGCCAGCCCGGTCATTTTCCCGTAAAATAAAAACACCCAGAAGGAAAACATGGACAAAGCAAATAAACGCCTCAAGGCGCGCCTCTTTGAATATCAGTGCGAGAATCGAACCCCTCCCAAGACGTGAACCTTCCCCTGTAGAATGGAATCATCCCTGAGCCGGTAAGCGCCAACCAACCAACCCCACCCCCACTTGCGCCCGCCGGCCGCGTGCAGCAAAAATCGTCCATCGCTTCCTCAGGCGAGGAACTGGAAGTCGTAATGATCGGTTTCGTTCGTTTTGTTGTGGAGAGACGTGTGCCGCGATGGTCTCTCGAGTAGTTACACAGACATTATATCCCTGACCCAAATCCCCCGCCGGCCGGAATTTTTTTCCTCTGATCCTGGTGTAAGGCGAGCAGCGAATAGCAACAATCAACGTGAAAAAGACTGCTCCGAACCAATGCAACGTTGTCGAAATCGAGTCGACGAAGGCGCGGGGCCGGGTCCCGCTGGTAAATAGTGGCCAAGGAGCATGCGCGTCAGGCTGCCCACTCCTTGGCTGAAGAGAATCGAATGTTCAAACACAAGCCTTTAGGAGTGGAACAGATCCCAGGCCCTCTCGCATATCCGCAGGAACTCCTCCCGCTTCTGCTTCTGGGTCTCAGGGCTGTCGCGGCCGGCACCGAAGGGGCCTCTCCTCTGAGCGGCGGGGCCGTGGCCCAGAGGGGGGCTGCCATCCTCGTACTCAGCGCGAGTACGGCGACGGCTGGCGCTGCGGCTGGGGTCTGCGGCTCTGCCGCCAGGGGCAGGGGACGGAGGAGTAGGGGGCTGGTGAGCACCGCCGTAGTGCACAATCTTGGGCAGCAGCTCGGGGCGGCCTCCGGCAATGTCGTGTTGCGCCTCCTCGGCGGACTTGTACTCTCTCGGGCGACCAGAAGTCGGGGGGTGCTGCATCTGCTGGGGTGGGTGCCCGGGCGAAGCCATGGGGCGCGCGCTCTGCTGCGGGTACAGGGAGTTGGGAGCGTTCTCGGGGTGGCCAGAAACCTGTCCGAAGACGTCGCTGATGGGAGGCAGACGGTTCTGCGTCTGGTTCGCGGGGACGTGGTGAATGTGGGAGGTGTTGGAAAGGGTGTTGGGCTGGTTCGCAATGTGGCGAGTCAGAGGAGCCGGGTGCTGGCGTCCGGTGAAGGAGTGTCCCAAGGGCGCAGACTGAATGACGCGCTCGTTGGCGAACGACTCGGCAGAGGGCGGCAGGATGGAAAGTTGTGCCTTGTTCCTGCGGGACAATCCCGGGGTCTTGGCGGCGAATTGCGACACGGGGTCCTTGCCAGCGGTATCGGGGCCGTCGCCCTTGGCCGACTGCTGCATCCTTTGCTCAATGATCATGCGCTGCTGATCTCTCACGCTCATACTTCGCTGGAGCTGCTCCTTCATAATCGGGTCCTGAGTAACGAAACCGGGCGAGAGGCAGGCCAAGCCGACCTCTTGGATGCCCAGGTTGTCCCGAGCGGTCATGGGCCTCGCAGTTTGAGGGGTGTTGGAGCCCGGGTGCGCGCCCTTGTTGGAGAGATCCAACTTACGGGGCCTGTGTCGAGTGTTCGGCAGGTCCGGGGAGTTGGGTTCCTTCTTAACGACGATCTTCGGCGGGCCGCCACCTCGAGAGCTGTGAAGAAATCCCGTTAGCTGGTTTCTACGACTCGCATGTAGAAAGATTACTCACGCGCTGGGAGGAGAAGACTTGGGAGCCTGGGCGGCGCCCCTGGGGCTGCCGCTACCTGAGCGATGCGCGGCAGCGTTCGGAGTGCCCTGAGGGGCGAGAGTCCTTTGAGCGGCAGGCGAAGAAGCTCCATGCTGGGCAGAGGGCGCAGGAGCGAGATCTGAAGGGAACGACGGTCTGTCGTGAGGGGCCGGAGAGGGAGCCATTGCAACTGCTGTGCTCATAGTTGCTGCGGGGTGTGAAGGTGGATGGTAGGAAATAGGGGGAAGAATCCGTTCGATGCGGAATGCTACTGTAGCACCCGTGTCACCGTTTGCCGTAGAGAGTGCAGTAGATGCCTCGCTCCGGTGAATGGATGCCCGAGGAAGCTTTGGAGTCGCTTCTCGTATTTGGGTGATTGCGAGAGGCCGCGATCGTGTACGCAGTGGGTTCTAATTGGCAATGTCGTCAAAGGTCGGGCGATTGAGATGCGCGATTCTCCCTTGCTCGCCGGTCCAGTTTTAATGGGTCGGGGTTCAGGAATCGTCGCGGCGACGAGTCTGGTGTGCTGGGATGCGCGACTGTTTAGGAGGCCGAGGGTTGGTGCCAAGGACAAGAAGGACTCGGTCTGGCGATGCTTGGTCGGCTGGGCCTTTGAATCGGAATCGGGGTGGGAGGGAATAAGAGGAGGGCCTTTGTCCCCTTTTCTTTTTCTCTCTCTCTGCGCGGATTGGTCGCTGCGATGGCACCAAAGCTCAAAGGCCGAAAGGCTGCGCTTGGAGGCTTGACGAAAGTGGCCGAGAGCGGGCTGGGATGAATTTAGGGTGCAAAAGTGGGTGCACTGGCGACGGTGGTGGTGTCGCTGCTGGTCGCCGTAAATTGTCGAAGCGCGGGCGCGTGGTTGGTCTGCTGATATCGTTCGTGGAACAAGCCGAGCAATTTAGAAGAAAAGACAGCAGCAAAGAATAAAAAAGCTGCTGCTGCTGCGTAGTAGAAGGTTCGGGACTGGTATGTACAGTGCCGATGGATGCCAAAATTACGAGTGCCTGGAGCAGGTGGTCGGCATGAATTGACTGATTGACAAACAGAGTACGGTCGAGAGAGTCGGCTTGTGTCAGGTGGTGTCAAGAGCAAGGGAGCGCGCTTCAGGCTCAATTCCTTCTCCTTTTTTTGGTGCTCTGTCAGAGAGGCGCTTGCTGGGTTTTTTTGGGGTGCGTTAGGGACGATCCAACTGAGTCGGTCGGTCGGGGGTATGTAGTATAATCCGTATTAATTAGGTCGCGCGTAAGAGAGACGGTTGACTGTATTCTTTTCTGGACTTTCTTTTCCGTTCGAGTCGCCAGGGACAAATTTCAGTGAAAGGAGAAGTTGTTTTGTTTGGAAATAGCGAGAGACTTCGTCTGCGACGTCGGGGTAAGAAAAGGTCAGGCGCGAGAGGTTTTGGGAGATGCCAGGAAGGGGGGTTAGGAGAGAAGAGAATGGTTAAGAAGGTTGAAAGGAAGCGCTGGACGAGACGAGGGTTACAAGAATGAGGAGGATGAGGGGAGGGGGGTGTTTAAAGGTGATGGAAGGGGGGGAGAAGGGGACCGGGGGGGAAGGATAGGTGTGTGGTGTGTGTGTGTGTGGTAAGGTAGAAGGGACGGACGCGGTGACAATTCAGTGACAAGTGAGTGTAAGGTATCGAGAGGCTGCGACACGATGGACGAGGATGTGTATGAGGGACCAGGGCAGCTGGGATGACCAGGGCCCTAGATTTTAGGACTGGGACTGGGGCTCTGGACCGGGACTGGGACTGGGACTGGAACCGGGCCTGGGACGTCGGATGGGCAAGGATAGACAGGAGGAGGCAGACAAGAGCATCAGGAGGAGCAGCATGAACATGGGGGAGATGGCGGGAGAGCGGGAGAGGGGTCCTTAGCTGACCTGACCTTTACGGATACAGGAAAGAGTTAACAGGTAGAAATCTGTACCTACTGCAGCAGAGTAGGTAGAGTGAATGCCAGATTTCTTATGAAAGGGGGACACGGGAGTGACACAATTATGGCCCAGCCGGCACACTTGACCCTTTTTGCGCAGGAAGAAACCACAGAACACCACAGGGTCTTCCCGGTGTGGATGCTGCAGCAGCGTACCTAGCCAAGATGCGATTGACTGGTTTGAATTCCATCCATGGCTGATTTAACGAAGGGGAGGGGTGGCGCATGCAACGTTTGAGGGGTGCAGAGAGGGAAATGCTGTCTTTTTTTGCAGTGCAGCTCTCAGTCATCCATCCATCGTTTACTACGCAGTACCATTCTTGCAGAGAAGACATCGTCACATCACTTTGAGCAGTACCTAAGGTAGGCAGACATACCACATCACCCCAGGCCACTGACAGAGGACAGAGGACAGAGGACAGAGGACAGAAGACGGAGCTCGTGAAGCAGCACGGCGTATCAGGCGCACCAGAAATAAGTGGCAGCCCACCTCAGGCGTCGGGTCAGAGGCCCCCGGTGCAGTTCGAGGTTGGTTGGTTCGCAGCGTGTAGCAGCAGTGGAGGTGCTACGGCGATAGCCTGCTTCATCCTCGCCTGTCAGTCCTTCAGACTGATGAGAAGACCATCAATCAGCACCAGGGGTGCGCTGCTGTATGGGCGAGCGGGGGCGCCGCTTAACCTCCGTAGGCTGTTTTACATTGATGTTACTTGCCAGAGCACCAAACCCTTCACTTCCCAGTCTTCGGATCGCCGGGCCCCTGTCTCTCTGTCTCTTGTCTCTGTCGCTGCCTCTGGTCTCTGGTCTCTGTCTCCGACTCCCACACAGCCCACACTTCCCCTTTGGGAAGCCCAACGACGGGATGACAGCAGTTGCCCTCGCACTAAACAGGTAGGTGCTCCAGGCAAGTGCTCCAGCAAGCTTTGCTTGCTTTCCATGCTTTCTATGCTTTCTATGCTGTCCATGCTGCTGGCTGACCCGTCGTCGAAACTTGAAGCTGCACCGCCATGATAGTGTGAGGTACTTACCATAGTACACACCTAGTTGAGGAGGAACCTCCTAATATCACACCAAGATGGGTGATATGTCCCTCCGGCCTCTTCTCCCCAATGCATCATGTATATGCTTCCATCTATGCTTCCTTCCCCTTGGCCTTGGGCAAGCAATCAAGGCACCTCTGCTTGCGTCATGCCCAATACAGACAGACTCAGGTTACCTGGTAATACATTACCGACTTGCAGCGTTGGTGCCCAGAGGCAGAGGCGGTGGTGCCTTGGGCCGTCCCACGGGTTGCAGCAAGAAAAGCACACTACTGTTTCTGATTGGGTTCGACAACCCCCATGCTGCCAGCCAAAGATGCGACACACGAGCCACCGCTCGCCCACTTGCCCAGTCCCGTCACCCTCCTTTTTCCCACCAGATTGTCAGGATTGACACAGATTGGCACCATGGATTGGCCATCCACAACACCGGACGACAATTCTCCTTGCTACAGACAAGACAACCTGGCTCTGCCTCTGCTCTGTCTATGCTCTGGAGAGAGGAAAGAGGTTGTGAGGCACAACCAACACCTCTGCCACCCATGTGCGTCCCTTCGTCCCGTGATTACCGCACTCTATCAAAGACAAGACTCAGGAACAAGCACTTCTTGCAACGCTCCTTCATCGTCATATCTAGATGCCGACAACCAACTTGGAGCAAGGGATTGCCGAGCACGCCACACACTCTTGATCCGATTAAGGTACGGATAACGGCGAGCGAAAAGACCAGACGGAAACACCAACGGCGGGGCTCATAAACTCTCGACTTTGTCTACGACAAACCCAACCCCTCAACCCCTCATCGTATCTATCCTGTATCTGCCTGATATGCGTCAAAGTACACTGCAGATACTCGCCGCCCATTTCGACTGCATGCTTCGGCAGAGTTGCCGCGGATTACGAATACAGAGGCATCCAAATGCCATCTTGCGGGTTGCGGGATTCTCATGGTGCGGCTGCAACCCTGTGGCATCGCGAGACGTGGCTTGGCCCGTCGTCGTCGTCGCCCTCGCCCTCGTCGTCCGAGTTGCGGATTGACTGACACCAGCTGAGAGCCAGGCAGTCCGCCCATCCTTCGCTGCGCAATAGCCCGCATTGCTTGCTTACAACAGTCGTATAAACAACGACCAGATACGCACTCGGTCCATCGCGATCCCATCTCTGCGACCCTCACTGACGTTCCTTACGTACTGCACGCGCACTTGCACTACGTAGCTCCCCTCAGCTCGACTAAACTTCTCACCAAGCCCTGGACGCTTGCTGGGATGCGGTGCCCCTCGTTCACATTGCTGCTCACCTTGTCTGAGAGCGCCCCCCGGCACTAACACGACTGAACAACCCGCACCTTGGAGCTGCCAGACCGGGCATGCCCTGCCAGCGGGGCAGACAGAACCGGGACTCGGTTGTTTCAACCTTTGCAGCATGGAAACGTCCATCGCTTTCACCGCCGTCCCATGCGGTACAGCGCAGAGGAGAGTTGAGATGGTTCCCGTTCTCGCTACGCCGAACAAACTGTGGGTTAAGAGCCAAGGTACCACATCAGGCGCTGGACGAAGCGAGCTCCACGAGGATATTGTCGTCATGCCGCTGTCGCCGAGGATAAAGCACCAAAGAAGGACTGGACGATATCGAGAAGCTCTCAACCTGCCACCGGACCCTGAGCACAGCCATACTAGAGCAGCCATAATGTACATTCAATTCAATCCAATACGGCCTGGCCGGATGGCCTGTGCCTGTGGCAGTGGCGGTGGATCACCGCCCAGCCCAGCGCGTCTAACACCCGACCTACGTTAACAAGTGGTGGTATTGGCACGCCTGCGCCTGCGCTGCGTGCGTCTGTCTGTCTGCGCTTGGTTCATGTGCCTGTGCCTGAGCAGTTCCATTCTCCTCCTAATAGTCCGTCTGCTATTAATTCCCTCCTTTCGCCTTCGCCGCGCGCCGCCATCATCGACGGAGACAGCCTGCGGGCCACATCAGGCCAGCTCGACGCTACCACGCTCCCAAGCTCCCAAGCTCGTGCAGCCTAGCGCAGTCCGGGCGCCAGTCCCCTTTTCTTTCTATCCCATCCGGCAGATTGAAGCAACCCAATGCAGCATCCAAAGGAATAAAAAAGTCAAAATGATTGGGGGCGACGGCGCCCGCGAGATGGAGGGCGATGGGAATGCTCCGTCTTGATTGGTGGCTCTACAACAAAGAGCCTATAGCACACATACGGGCAACGGCTGGATCGCATTCACCTGCATCCCTCATACATGGTTCCTTAGGCATGGAAGGTGTAGGTACTCGGAGGCCCCTGTGCGAATTTCCACGCCGGGCCAACACCATGGAAAACAAACGCATCTTGGCTCACCGTCGGAACCACGAACCGAATACTCAAAGAAGAGACAAAAGAACCACAGTGGAAGGGGCTCTCGATCCCCGATTAACGACGGATAAATGGCTTTCTGTTTCTCTGAATCCTTACGCCCCATGGGCTGAGGCGAGAAGCGAGTGAATCGATCCATTGCCAACCCGATAGCAGAGCCTTCAATTTCCCTCGACAGGTTCGGAATATTTTCACCAAACTTCAAACATTACTCTCACCGGCGAAATATAGTGTCTCCCCACCTTTTCCTCCTCCAGCATGCCCCCTCCACGTCCGCCCTCGACGACCCCCTGATCACATCTGACGGACCCAACAACTCCACATGGATGAATCTGCACAAGATAGATTACCCAATCGGCCGTCGACTTCCACCAGCGACTTGGTTCGTCTCTCTCCGTGCCGTGTCGCGGCTCAACAATGGGACTGAGAAGGAGCACTCTGTACGGATAGGAGCTCCAAGACATCGGTCAGCACGCCAACGCCGCTGTGTGTTCCCACACCTGTCGAGTTGTCCTTCCTCGATGCTGATTGCTTCTCTTTGCCGCGCTACGAAGATGCTTTTCCTTCTCGACGGTCCAACAATACGAAGCCAAACCATCCTGTGCCGCCATCGTATTCAATATCCCGTGCTCAGCACTGTCTTACCTCTCTCTCTCTCTCTCTCGCGTGGATTACCGACCGTGACAGCCGTCGCTGGCGATCGGTAGCCACTCATAGGGCGAGTGGCCACTGCTGAAACCCGCCCCTCATTCGATTGAATTGGCCTGACCTGACCTGACCTGAGCCGCCTGAAGGCTGGGCCTGACGAGATTAGTGCTGGGCCGGCTCACCTGTCGCTGGCATCCTCCGCACTTTACCACACTTGCTACGTTCAATTGCTCGCGGCTCTTCTGGGGCACGCAGGCAAGAACCAGACAGGCTCAGGAACAGGAATGGGCACAGGCACAGGCACAGAGGGGACAGGGGGGGAGGGGGGCACCTTCATCCATGACAGAGACGTCCCTGAAGATCCCGGCCTTATCCCACGACCGTTAAGCCGCAACCCCATGTCCCACCAGCCATGTCCCTCACAAGTCCATAAGAGGCTGAGTTGATTGAGGTGTGGCACTTTGTTCCGCACGAGCCAGCGGCGGCAGCACAGCAGCATGAACTTGATGAGCGAACCCAGGTCTCCAAGAGCAGATACGAGTCGGAGAGTTGCGACCTTCTCCACGCCTGTGTCGTCGTCACTCGTGCCGGAGCCACCTCCTGCGCCCATCGTCGACTGTCAAATTTCCCTTCATCCAATGCGTCCATGCTGGCTGTTGCCCATAGACACACACACACGCACATGCACACACGACAGCTTTGCAACTGTTCTGACAGAGGCTGGCATTTCATTAATCCATTGGCCTTCAGATGTCTTTCACCCGCAACGCTAGCTGCACCCGCACCCCTCTCGACGTCGACGCACACCACTCCACCCCCCAAAATCCCCACCACGGTTCCAGGTTCGTCGTCGACGTTACATCCCCTAAAAATTCTCTTCATCCTTTTCGGGACAACAGCCTTTTGCCCACTTGCAGCAAGTTTTCTGGGTACAGCACGCTAGGTACGGAGCATCTGCCCTGCCCGACCATGCTCTCTCCGCCCTACAACTTTCCACCATGCTACTACCTGCGTGAATAGGTACAGAGCTTCCCCCCCTCCCCAAAACCCTGTGCTGATGATGACTGTTCACGAGTTGCAGCCGCTGCACCTGCACAGACAGTTCGGTCCAAGGTTCTTAGTAGTTCGTAGGACACCCCTCTCTGCTTCTTCTCTGCTGCTGTTGCTGCTTCCCTTCCTCGGTTCGCTTTTGCCGCACCCCGTCTAATGGGCATAGCTCTCTCCATCCCATCTCTACCAAGAGCCCACAGACGACGCCCGTTGGCTCCTTCGTGAATCACCTGCAAACCATCCGTCAGTCTGCCCATGCGACTGGATAACTGTGGCCCTCCACTGGCTGAAAGTCCCCCCTCCCCTCCCCCAGGCCAGGGTTGCAGGTACGTACTCTTTCCCTCTCACACACACCACCCTCTGCTGGCCCGAACCCACTGGCTGGGCTTCGGTTTGAGGACGAAGGAAACGAGCCAATCATCTACGTCAAAACGTTTCGACTTGAAACAAGAGCGGCGCTCGGCGGCCAATCAGACCCTGTTTTCGACGTGACAGCGCAAGACGATCACGACAAGAAGTGTGAACATTTGTCCAAGTTGCGCTGCGTGGTTGGAAGCCACTGGATCCAGCTGTACAGAGGAAATCCGAACGTTGGCCGTCTGACGAGGAGGGGGAGGGGAGCAGACCGGGACAGGCGGGCGGGCGTTCTGTCTTCTCGGCTCGCCTGGGGTTAACTACCTACCGCGGAGCTCTCGTGTTGCTGTCCGGATCGTGAAAAAACAGCCATGTTGTTGCTATACCACACCGTTGTTTGTTTTGTTTCCTCTTTTGAAGGGGTTGGTTCACAGAAGGGGGGGGGTAGGGGAGGGGGTGATGGTTTCGGTCTGTGATCCAAGTATGATGTGCGGTATGATGCGTGTTATCCCATCTTCGCTTCCCGCGCCGCCTTTAAAGGCCTGGCTGTCTGGGCACGTCAACAAAAATAACGAAACCCACGAGGTTGAGAGCATGGTCCGTGGACGACGGGCCATGGCCCTGACAAGCACTTGGAGCCTGGAGCATTGTCTCACCGAACCAGTGGCCCGTAACCTGGCTGTCGGGAGACGGGCCCGGAGGAGGAGGGGTTAGAAGGGGGCCTTGCTACGGCTCTTTTTCTTCACGGCTGTCAGAATATCCGGCCGAGGACGACACGGTCTGTTACCGTCTGTTTTGTTTCTGATATCCTCGCTTGGCCACAGGATGAGGGATTTGAGAGTGGCTGGCGCATCGCGGGAATGGTCAGATGGCTTGTGAGATTCGACGACGACCCCGGTCTTACAAATCAGGTTTCTCGTCTGTTCTTTGACGTTTCTGCCTCGGAAGACGCAGAAAAGAAGGATTCTTCGAGCTTGGACCCGTCGCGGACGTTGGACGGTGACTCAACTCTCCCAGCATTGTCTACAACATGTCAAGGCGATGTAGCAACTGCAGTCACACGCGCAACAGTGTACTCCGCTCCGAACCTGCAGACGCGATAGGTTACCGACAGATGCAAGGTGATGGGAGAGATATGCTTGGCCCGTCACTTTGTAAGGACTTCTTTTCGGGCGCCACCTTCTCGGGAACAAGCAAAGAGCGCTATTGTTCTCGAAGATGACATATACCCTTCCAAGTCGCATTCTGGGCTTTGCTGCGAGTGCTTGCGGGTTCCGTCCAGTCAGATTCGTCCGCGCCTGTTGGTGTGCGGTGGTGCTGGTTGCGTTCCATTTCTTCATTGCTACGTTGGCTGTTTGCTTCTTTGCCTAGCTGCCGTCCCGCGGCCGCCCTTGCTGGCTGACATGTGGTTGTGCGCTTGTCGTCGTCAACTGCATGTTGCCGCGCGCCACCGTCTTTATTGATTTTCTCGGTGGGTGGGAGGTGTAGCAATGTGCATGGGCATGGGTATGGGCAAACCAACGGCGATTTTGGGACAAGCAGTCAGCGATATGTACGCTCGGCATTGGGCGACGACATTTGCCGCGCCGTTGGTTCATCTTTTGCGAGTGCGACAGAGACAGCCTCCGATGGTGTGTTGCATGTGCCGAGAAACATCTCCGCAACGTCTTCTTTATTGAATGCCTCAGTTGTGGCGCTTGGGCGACGGTGATGCTGGGCAGAGAGTTTCCCGATGTCACGCCGCCATTGCCCGAGCCTACAGTAGGAAGTGATTATGTAAGAATTTAACCCCTGCAGCTGGCACCAGCTGTAAAGGCTCAGTGCCTGCCATTGAGCTTATCAAATCGGCGCCGGGGCCGTTATCAGAAAATTTCGAGACTCGATGCAAGTCACGATCGAGTAACGACATAGTCGCGACGACCACGGATTGAAAAGCCCCACGCCCACAATTTTGACATCACGAATACCCGTGTCTCAGATTTTAAAGGACGTTCGACCTTGACGTGAAATTTCGCAAAAAATGCCCAGCAGAACAGAATCCGAGGACGTCGCCATGGACGAGGCGCCCCCCTCTCACCAGCCCGAGGAGAACGAGGCCTCTGAGGAGTCGCCTGAGCAGGAGGAGGAAGAGGAGGAGGAGCCCCAGCGCGTCAAGATTGTACGGTTCCTCTCTCGATGAGAAGAAATGAGAGTTGTTTATGCTGACGGTTGGTATAGCTCCCTGGTTCAACAGACAGCGCTGCCTCATTCGAGTTCATCGATGAGGGTCACACGCTCGGCAACGCGCTGAGATACATCATCATGAAGAAGTGAGCCAACCTTTCGGAGTTCTAATTGCCGCTCATCACTAACATACGAAAAGCCCCGACGTCGAGTTCTGTGCCTACGCCATCCCTCACCCCTCCGAGGCCAAGATGAACCTCAGAATTCAGACCTATGGTATGCTCTCTCGCCCCTTCAACACTACTGAAGCCAACTGACGTGTGCTGCAGACGGAACCGCCGTCGCCGCCCTCCAAAAGGGCCTCAAGGACCTGCAGGCCCTGAGTGACACTGTCGCGGAGGAGTTCATCCGCTCTAAGGAAGAGTTTGGACGTTCTTAGCTTTGCGAGACGGGACGAGATGTTTGCATGTCAAAACAGGCGTTTTAGGGGGTTTCCGTAAAAATCCAAGGTCATAGACAAAACGTTAATGAGCAATTGAAATGTTTTTTTTTCTTTCCCCGAGGGTCGGACTTTTGGATTGGTTTTTTATGTACACGAGCTCTAAGCCTCTCTTTCTTACCGCTCAGTTACGACCCTGGAGGAGATTGCATGTGGTCAGTACGGAATTGCGCAGCAGCTGTGTATATATATCTGATCCCAAGTGGGATGTCGCTTGGGAGACTCACCTCCAAGAACCCAGTCATGAAGTTGTTGGGCAACCGCTTGTCTCCTCTAAAGTTCTCCTCCTTGAAGTAGGACATGATGTGCGTGGTCTGCTTCCAGAAGTTCATCGTCTCCTGTTTGTCGTGTTGTCAGCCGTTGTTCCTCCCATCTCCCTCTCTGGCCCGGCTCGCCTCGACACAACGACGGAGGGGGCGCATACCTGGTATTCGGCGTGGCTCTTGAAGATCAGGACGTCGACGACGGGGAGCTTCTTGGCGAACCTGTGGCGCTCAAACTCCTCGCGTATCCGGGTGCGAAGGACGGAGACGGGAAGGGGGACGTTGTACATCGTCTGGATCTCGGGCGCCTGTTTCCAATCCCTCGCGGTTAGCCTCTCGTCACCTTCTCCCATGACCCCTCCATCCACCACTCAATCGGACAACCGACGGCCGGCTGTCTCGGATCGTCAGGAAACAGAGCGAAAAACATACAGCGCGAATCCATTCTCTGTAGGAAGCGAGGACCCGTCTCTTTGCGTCGTTCCAGTTGGCCGCTGTATGTCCGTCCTTGTCAGCAGCATTCTTCCGATGCGTCAATCGGGCTCAGGACGTACACTGCCGGGTCGTCTTGGCGAATTGGGTCGGTGTGATGGCCATGGTGGGCGCGCGCGGGGTGCTGGGTGAGGGATTCGGGTTCGTGATGGAGGCTTGCCCGCGGTCCGGCTATCTTGCACTGGCGGTTGGTCTTGCGGGAAGCACGCACAGCTCCAACGTTGGGAGCCGCCCAATCACGTGTGGGACTTAGTCAGCCCGGAGCTGTTGTCTGGCACGGCGGCGACGGCAGTGGGCTGATAAGGTAAGATAAGCTCGTTCCTACTTTGGCCCCACTATCGAATTAAACCTCCCGACTTCACTGTTCGTCATACTCCCGCGTCGCTGCACGTTGATCCTATCTCCCTCCGAAGGTCTCAGAGAACCGTAGAATACCGCGACGCGATCGACTTCGACACCGACCACATTATCTAGACGACACAGCCGCCGGACAAGATGCCTCCCATGCGTCACTCGTCGAAGCGCAAGCCGCCCCCAGAAGGCTTCAGCGACATTGAAGACCAGCTCCTCATCTTCCAAAACAAGATGAAGGACGCGCAGAACAAGCCGCCGCCGACGGGCCCGAAGCACCAGGCGCAGTGGGAGATCTTCCAGATTGCACACACGCGAAGCCGCTACGTGTACGATATGTACTACGAAAAGGAGGCCATTAGCAAGCAGCTGTACGAGTGGCTGCTCAAGAACGGGTACGCAGACGCGATGCTCATTGCCAAGTGGAAGAAGCAGGGCTACGAGAAGGTGAGTCGCAGTTCGGAGCTCCGTCGGGGTCCTGCTAACGTGTTGTCCTTAGCTTTGCTGCCTGCGCTGCGTCCAGACCAAGGAGACCAACTTCAACTCGACGTGCGTATGCAGAGTTCCCAAGGCCCAACTCAAGGGGGACCAGGAGGTGCAGTGCGTCAACTGCGGATGCCACGGCTGCGCTTCGAGTGATTAGAGAAGGGTTCGACACGTCTCATACTTGAAGAGGCCCCGTTCAGCATGGCGACACACATTCACATCATCGCGGGAGACAGGCGTTCGGCGTCATAGGAGGGTTGGTCCTGACCACGAGTACGAGACTCGGGGTCTCTTTATTTTGCTGCAAAGAGGTAGTGATCCTTTCAATTGACCGTTTTGGTATCATGATGGCCTGAACGCTAATCAAAGTAGTGCTATGCTTCGTGACGTGTTCATCGTTTTGCAAAACCTGCCCGTCCGCCGCCTCGCCCAAACCGTACGCTGTTCGGTACGAATTGCAGCGCCGACATGGCTCCTGCGAGGTCCTCCATCTCAGTGTCTGGACGTTCCGTCGGGTCTGGCAGTGGTGCTGCTGGCTGTGATGCTGCGGACGGGGTCTTGCCCTCATCTTCTGCCGGCGGCTTACGCCCTTCCTCCTTTTGCTTGCCGCCGCCCTGCGTCTCTAGGATGCTTGACTTCCGCTTCGACTCTTTCGTGTTGACGGCGCTGGATGACTTGCGTCGGTGATGGCCGCCTTCAACGAGTAGTGACCGCCGTCCGTCGATGCCCTCCTTGGTCACCGCAAAGAAGAAATTTTTTGGATACATGTGCTTGTCGATGAGATGCATTCGTCGCTTCTGCGGCGTCATGCACTTTCTCTCGCAGCCCTCAACGAAGCATGAATACTGGGATTTGTCAGCGGTCTCCTTGCAGCCCAGGGGGTAATAGTTGACTCACCGTGTGCTCTCCTCTCTCGCGTCGCACTGCAGCAAAAGAGTCATGACACTCCTCATGGTGAATGTTGAGTAGATGCTCCGACGGCAGATTTCTACCGCACTCTAAGCACCGGTTCGTGTGCGTCTTGACATAATGCGCCTCATAGTCGTCATAAGACTTGAAGGATACAGCCTCGCGGTGAGGCGGCAGGACACACTTCATGGCAAATTCCTGAAAAGTACCCTCGGCAGGCTCCAGCTCTGTGATCTTTGTTGCGCGGTCATCTGCATCAAGGGACCTAGGGGTGGTGCTCTTGTCGGTTGCGGAATCGGCGGCGGAGGGCTCCTCTTGGTCCTCTCGTGAGCGTTTCATCTTGAGTGCGGCGAGCAATGGGGAATTGTTTACTTGCAAGGCCGCCACAGAATCCCCCCTCCACACCAGGCTTGTACAATCTCTTGTGTGCTGAAATTAGAATTCGGGAGGAGCGGGCAGGAGCATGAGTGAGGCTCAGGCCCGGGTGTAGTCAGAAACCCAACTGAAAATGGCAACCTGCGCTACCTGAGGTATGGCGTAGCTGTGCAACAGTGTTTGGTGAGAGAGACACGGCAGACAATAGCTATGGACTCGGGTATGGAATGTTTTGGGCGGTGGAAGATCAAAGACCGGGGCAGCGGCGGTGGTAGTGGTGGTAGTGGTGGTGGTGGTGGTGGGGCACTGACGGTCAAAGACAACAAGCAGATCAGGTCAGTCAACAGCCAGGACTCATCATTCATCAATCCCATCCCATGTCGGGCAAAAGCATGGCAAGGCAAGGAAGGGCCATTGGCCACTGGGCGGGTTGCCAGGCCCAGGCTCAGACTCGGGCTTCCTTACCTTAACAAAGAGGCGGCAGCCATTGGTGCGCAACAGAGGCTGTGCAGATGTATCTCAGTTAAGGATGGCCTGGGCTCCCTTGGATGAGGATTGAGAGTTGGTAGGCCTTCAGCACGCAGAGGGACCCTGTGCACGGGCCACGTGCAGCTGTTGAGGGGCTCCATCCAAAATAACTGATCCCCAAGGTGGAAACACACTTTACCATAATATACCTTGAGGTTGTTCGCGTCCCTGTGTCTTCATTGAGACCCGACATCGCCGTCTCTTTTTTTCTTCCTCTTCCTGTGCCTTCCTCTATCTGATTGCACACGACCACCACCACTGTGTGTCCCAGTCCGAGTGCCTCTCCCCTCTTCCCTCTCTGAATGTTTGCTACTGAGTGGCACATCGCTCGTCGCTCCTTCCCTCCGAAACCTCCACCCAATGTTTTCTTACCCGACTTCTTCACCCAAAGAACGTGCCGCCACAAGCCCTCGATCCGACTCCCCGAGCCTGTCGTTGTTGTTGTTGTTGTTGTTGTTGTTGTTGTCGCCTCCTGCCTCTGCCTTGCCCTCGACTCTGCAAAGCGCCTGCCACCTCCCAAGTTATGGATCGCGCGCGCACTCAGGGATCGGTTTCGAGAGCGTGTGAGCACAGCACCTAGCTACGGGCTCCTTCTTTTTTGGCCTTGTCTTTGATTTTTGGATTCCCGGGGTTCCTCTACTCCAAACACCACAACACCATCGCAACAATACCCCTCTAGGCACAGGGCCTGATCCTGTGCTTTCCACCATGGCAGACCACACTGAGACAGCAAAGGATTGCTGGCAGTAAGTCTATCCATCCCCTTGTCCTCTTCCCCTCCATTGTTCCTGGGAGGGGGCGGACGTCTTGGGGCGCATCTGCCGGAGGCCCCGCGATCCTTCCCCTGCCTTCCAATGATGACTGACGATAATTAGCTATGCGCAAAAAGTCCGCAAGCAATTGCAGAAGGAGCTGGAGAAGCTCAAGAACGACTCCGAGGGAAACGAGCTTAAGCGATTCGAGGCTCTCGAAAACGTCATTGCCAGGTACGCACGGAGCCGTCTCTGCGATTGGAGAGGGTCTGCTAATTCGAACCCAGTCTCCGGCTCGCCTGCATCCAAACCATTTTTCATTCGTTCGAGTATGGAACCACCGAAAAGGTCGACAACAGCCTGTGGCAGGCGCACAGCCTCGTCAACTCCGAGTATCGCAAGGCCTCCCTCCGCCTGAAGGGCTCGCAGCACAATGTGCTCAAGCGCAAACTCGACAAGATGTACATGGCCTTTCTCAAGACGGCGCAAGGCTTCTACATTGCCTACATCCAGCGTCTGGCCGCCGTCTTCCCCGTGCCCGAGCTTCTGCGCATTGCCAAGGGCATCAAGGCCGAGAACCTCGTCGAGCAGAACCCGATCGCGAACGTCACGCCTGTCGTGCGCCAATGCATCCTCAAGTTCTGCCATGCGGCGCTCATCCACCTCGGCGACCTTTCCAGATACCGCACGCAGAATCGCCCCAAAGTCCCTTATGAGGCGGCTTTGGTCTACTATTCGCTCGCTCACGACATCATACCAACCTCGGGCTTCGCCCACCACCAGATGGGCATCATCTACCTGGATGAAAAGAAGCACCTGGACATCATATACCACTTCTACCGCGCCCTGGCTATCGAGGAGCCTCATCCCATGGCGACACAAAATCTCGAGGCCGAACTCAAGACCGTTCAGCAGCCGTCAACCCCAGCTCGTCGCGCTGGCCCCCCGGACCCGCAAGAGGCTTTCGTGCTCTGGTTCGTCCGTCTGCACTCCCATCTCTACAAGGGGGAGCCGTTCCCGCAGCACCAAGAGCTCGAAGATGAGGTGATCTCCCGACTGGAGATGGCCATCAAGGCGCCAAACACGCGGGAGATGCTGCGGAAGATGGTTCTACTTAATGTTGCGGCCTTTCATCATTCTAACAGAAAAATGACCAGTATGTTGTCCGTCTACTCTCGAGAACGGTTTGCTGACTTCGCCTAGATAAGTGGACTATCGCTGCCTCGCGATCCTCGCACTTCATCCTGCGTCTGAACGCCCGCTTCTTCTCGACGTTTTGCCGCCTTCTCAAGAAGGAGGTGGAAGACATCACTGAACGACAAGCAAAGGGCGAACAGACTTCCGCAGACGGTGCCAGCAAGGAGGCGGATAAGATCACGCCCCTGCTCGAAAATACCCTGCCCTTTGTTCGCCTCTACGCAGCTTGGCTCGTGGCCTGCCGCGTTGAGATTCTCAACGCCCAAGACCCTCTCGAGCCTTTCGTCAAGAACATGTACAAGGACTTCGCAAAGGCCCTGACTGTTCTGTGCGAGATGTATGGCAATGAAGATCTCAAACTGACGCCATATCTGCTTCCCGAGGACCAGGAATCCGTAGGACTACTTCCCCTCTACGGCTTGCAGCTGCCAGAGACCTGCCGCATTCACTACGAAGAGGGTACCCGAACGGTCAAGCCGCAGGCTATTCATTACGACGGCCAGCAACTCGATGCTCTTCACGAGGTATTCGCCAGAGTGTTGAACACGATCAAGTGCGGATTCTTCCTGGCCAATGACGACACCAACTTTCCCTTCTCATACGGCACGTCAACTAAGGGTCTTACGTTTACTTTCGAGGAGGACTACGTTGCCAACCCGACAGCCCAACCGCCCGCAAGACCAGCTGTCGAGGATAGCGCGCCTGCGCGGCCCCTGTCTGCTCCCAAGGAAGCGGCACGAACAAAGCATGTCCAAAAGGCGCCGTCCAAATCGGCACCAAAAATGCCGCCACCTAAGCCTACCCCGTCACGGACGCAACAACAGCAGCCCACGCCTGGCCGCAACAGCAACAAGACCCAGGGCCAGTCCGACTACGATTTCAGTTCCGATACCGATATGCTGAACATGGTCAACGACTTCCTGATGCCTCCTAGCGCCACCCATGCTTCCCCTGTCCAGAGTCCCGAAGACACCTCGTACGGAATGAACTCGGCAATGGCAAACGAGGTATTCGGTGTGCCCCCGACTAACAGTCCCCCCGCACTCGGATCCGCCACCGGGAAAACGTTCCCCAGCCTGCCATGGAACATGATTTACACACCAACACCACACACCAAGAATTCTGAGCTGACACCGCCAGACCGTGCTGCGCGAGACGCGGCTGCGAGGAGGTCCTTCGATGCCGGCGCATCTCCGAGAAATGTCCAGATCTCTAGCACAGGTCTCCTCGATGACCCCTTCGCGGATGGGCCAGACGGGCAGTACTTGCCACTGCAGCACCAGCAGCAACAGCAGCAACAACGACGCTACCCAGGTACACCTGACTTGAATGCTCACCAAGACCGTCTGTTGCAGGCCTTTGGCAAGCAGCCGACAGACACAAGATCTATGAGCCGTGATTTCTCGGGAGGCTACGGGCTTTGGAACAGTGCATACCCAGAGGTCAGCCCGAATGCACTCCAGCCGCGAGCGTCATCCGCTCATGTACGCTCACTGAGCGGAGCTCGGCCTCAGTATGCCCCTCAAAGCCCCAACGTGCCCCAGGCCGGAGAGAACTTTCCCTTGTCGTCAGACACTCAGTTCTCCAACAATAGCGGCATTTTTCAGAGCACTCCGTGCAACGGGATCGCGTATACTGCAACGACCGCATTTGGACGTGGTCCCATCGCCCACATGACGGAGGATCCCACTCACTACAAGAACCTGGTCAGACAAAACGGTGGTGCTGCTACTGACGGCTACACTGCGGGCTACAATGACATGATCCTACAGTCCGCTATGGCCGACGAGATGAGGCGCGCCTCTGGCCAGAACCTGCGTCGCTGAGGGGCACTGAGGGATATGACTTGCTACTGAAAACACACACCCAAACAAGCCCAGCCCACGACCGCTTTGCTGGTCGCGCGGCTGGCAGATGAGAACATCATCTTTGCTATTGCGATGTGAGCTTGATGTGAAGCCGCTCCGAGTGACGTGCAAGCTGACCATGCGCACAGGGAAGGACAACTCAAGGTGCCAGCCAATCGCCGGATAATCTTTGCTCTCACGAATTGCTTTTTGTCGGGCGGGTTTCACATGACAGGACGGGAGAGACTAGTCATGGGTTGTTCACCAGGCTGTTCTTGTGCAGCCAAATCGTTCCTTCATATTGTTTACTATTTCATGACCCAGGGCTCGGATCGTGGAAGATGTCAGGCCCAGATTGCGAGTTGATGCAAGTGCTATTGCCACTCATTTGATGCTCCCCCCGGGAGCCAACGCCGTTGTTGAAACCTTTTCCCTTTGACCCCCTCAACGCCAGACTGTCGAAATGGACGGATATGCTCTAGGCATTAGATGCAGGCTGCCATGCCTACAGTTTAAGCAGAGTAGGTCTGCTTGGGGAAGGGGTAGCTAGAAAACATTGTTAGCAAATGATCGAAAATATCACAAAAGGCGTGCCCATGTGAAAAAGAAGTGATGACTTACGAAGGACCAAGCTCCTGGATGCTGAGCTTAGCCAGCCACTGGCCCATGTCGATGGACTCGTCGAGAGACTTGCCGTCGACGATACCAGCCATGAGACCACCGGCGAAGGCGTCACCGGCACCGTTGGTGTCGTTGATCTGCTCCTTGGCAATAGGCTTGACGGGGTACTCCTTGACGGTGTCCTCGCCCTGGACGGCAACGAGGGTGGGCTCGGTGCCCTGGGTGACGATAGCGACGCGCTTGCGCTTCTCGTTCTTCTTGGGCAGGTTGGCGAGGGCCTTGGCGATCTCCTTGAGGTCGGTGGTGCCAAGGTTGTGAGCCTCAGCGTAGGCGGCGGCCTCGGTCTCGTTGCCGATGACGTAGTCCCAGTAGGGGGCGCTGGCGTCGAGGGGGTCCTTGAAGAACTGGCAGATGAAGGGGGCGGACAAGCTCACAGCGAAGATCTTGTTGTTCTTGGCGGCCTCCTCGGCGAGCTTCTGGATGGCCGGGGGGCAGACGGTGAAGTGGTAGCCACCAATGTAGTAGGCCTGGGCGCCCTCAACGAGGGCCCAGACGTCGGGGCGGGTGAGGTGCTCGAGGTCGTAGTGGTTGGCAGCGCCGAGGTCGGTGCACATGGAGCGGTCGTGGCCGGTGATGACAACGCCGCAGCGGCCGGTGGCGATCTTGGGGTCGACGCGGTACTCGACGCGCAGGCCGGCGGTCTTCACGGCATCGTGGAGGATGGCGGCGTACTTGTCGTCGCCGACACCGCCGAGGTAGACGACGGAGTTGGGGGGCAGGATGTACTGGGCACCGCGGGCGGTGTTCTGGGCGGCGCCACCGGCGATGAGCTTGGCGTCGTAGTTGTTGAGGAGGTCCTCGTAGATGCCGAGGTGCTTCTCTTCGGCGAGGATGGCGTCGTTGGCCTTGAGGCCGTACTTTTCGAGGAGGGCCTCGTTGCCAACTGCTTGGATATCTAGTGGTGGGGTGTTAGCCTTTTTTTTTCGGTCCGGTCCGTTTGGGGGGAGCTCGGTGTTAAGGGAGGAGGGGTAAGTTGGGTGTTGGTGAGGAGGGGCAGTTGCGCGGTTGCCCCTCGTTTTGAGAGATAGAAGCGTTGTAAATCTTACCAAGCAGAGGGTTCTCGAGGCAGAGAAGACGGAATTCCTTGGAGGCCATTTTGTTCAATTGAGGTATTCTGGGGTGTACGGAGGAGGTGTGGAAGAGACGGTGGGAGAAGGGGGAGCTCTTTTCAGAGATTTTGATTTTGGTGCTCCGGCGGCAAGTGCTGTAGCAGGTGATGGTGGGGTCAACAGCGTTGGACCTGTCGGAGGAGGTGGGGTGGTGGGAGAAACGTGCTTGAGGGCGGGCAGCTGAGCTCGCCGAAGGGAGGACGGTGGCAGGGATGGTGGGGCGAGTCGAAAAGGTTCTTGTCGCTGTTGCATCGATTGAGATTGCCGCGAGTCTGAGCTGGGGCACCAGCAGCCAGTGCTTGGTTAGACACCTGGCCGAGGCGGTGACGGACGACATTCTTTGGGTTGATTGGTCTGATCGGACGGATGTCAATTGATGGAGTTTGGTGATGGAATCTGGGGAACACCGGATTCACTGGTTTGGTGACACGGGTGGTGGTCGGTTTTTGTGCCCGGTCCCCCTAGAGTCAGATCATGCCACTTACGAGCTGATGATGAGAGCGGGAGCAGTCACGAGATGGCGCGGTTTCCTGTTCTGTAATATTTCAGATTGACGAACCCATGTTACCAGGGCATCTTGGTCTGTTGAAGAAAACCAGAAAGCTACGTAAAGGCAGCCGGCCTCTCCTCTCTTGACAAGTCCATAACCCCGTTTCGATTTTGATCAGCTCGTACGCACAAACTCCGGCCTCTCTCTTTTTTGGTCATCTTCACTCATCACATTCTTGGTCCCGCGAAGTACACGTGCCTCCCTCTTGACGGGGGGAATCATGGCGTGTTCATTCAATGCTCAAAATGCCTTTTTGTACTTGCCGACGAGCTACCAGGTGAACTGCCCTCGCGAGTACCCTCAAAAGATGCCAGCCGCGTAACACCAACCCAATGGAACCCTGAAATCCAGCCAGACTATGACATTTATTCCTTGGTCTTCTGGGTACCACGGAGGAGACCAGTACGTCTGGCAGCAATAAGACCGGCCTTCTGTCCCTGGGCGGCGTAGCGAGAGATGGTAGAGGCCTTTCCGATATGCTGGTGGTTACCACCACCGTGGGGATGGTCGACGGGGTTCATGGCAACACCACGAGTCTTGGGCCAGCTGTTGCGCTTGACAGCGAATTTGTGCTTGGCGCGGGAAGCCTCTGTAGGAGTTTGTTAGCGATTCCGTTCCCTCTCCCATACTGTTTCCCAAACTTCAAATTTCCAATGACCACGGGCAAAAACGTACTCAGGAGGGGCTTGTCGGTACGGCCACCACCGGCAACAATACCGATCATGCCACGGGCAGCAGAGTGGACGACCTTCTTGGCGCCGGAGGGGAGCTTGATGCGGGTCTTGCCCTCATCGGGGTTGTGGCCGACAACGGTGATGTAGTTGCCGGAGGTGCGGCCGAGAGTGCCACGGTCACCGATCTTGGTCTCGACGTTGGAGACGACGGTACCCTCAGGCATGGAGCCGAGGGGGAGGACGTTGCCGACGGTCAGCGCGGCCTTCTTGCCGGCGTAGATGAACTGGCCGGTGTACATGCCCTCGTTGGCGATGAAGGTCTCGGTGTGCTGCTTGAACTTGTAGGGGTCCCGGAAGACGACCTGGGCGAGAGGAGCACCACGACCGGGGTCGTGGATGATGTCCTTCACGACACCGCGGACGTAGCCGTGACGCTCGGCATAGTCGAGGTTACGGAACTGGGCGGGGGCCTATTTTTGCGAATCGTTAGGATTCTGAAAATTGTCGTGCGCTGCGGGCGCAATTATTCGGGAGCGGGAATTCGATGCTCACCTTGTTCAGGCGGGTGTTGGCCGTGAAGATGCTTCCACGGCCCTTCCTCTGGTTGCGGATCTGGAGGCGAGACTGTCAGCGATCATGGTTCCTCCCATCATGTTGTTCTTCCATCATCGAAAAAAGTTCGCGGGTTTCGGATCGACGAAATTCGGAAATGTGGCAGCGACAGCGAGCCGCAAGTCGAGAACCGTCTGTTCGCAATGATGGATGATCGTCAATAGAGTAATTACTTACAACGCGACCCATTTTGGCAGTCCTCTGGCGGTCGGAGGGCTAGGTGTTGTCGACGGTGGTGATGGTTGGGAATTTTTGCAACGAACTCCAGTGACAAGGTAATTTTGGGAAGCAGCTCTGGTGGGCGGAATTCGGGGCTCTCGCTAGAGCACGTGCCTGGTCACCTGATCTTCTGCAGAGGAAAAAAAAATCGAGCGGTGCCAAGTGAGAAGTGGAAGGAGCTCGGACGGCAAGAATCCAGGCTCCACGGTGAGTCGGCGCGCGGACCCACTCTGACATCCACCCCGCTTGCTGTTGGCCAGCCTTGACCCGTCGAACGGAACGCCTGCACCGCGTCACGATCTCCACACTTTTACCCTCACCTCCCGAACGTCCTCTTGACGGCCTCATTGGCCTACGTCCACGACACGGTCGACGGCGATGTGCACGACAGTCCCTTGCTCAGCTAATGTCGCGAATATGATGGTCATCAAAACACTCGGTGTTTAGTGCATCAACTCATGAGTGGTTTCTCTCTGCTCCTCTCATCCGTTTCGCTCCATTTGTGGCTGCAGTTGCTAAATGTCTTGTCAAGGTTGACGAAATCGACTTGGATTCGGCGTGTGTTCTGGGCGGGTACCGTCTAGAGACGCCTCGTGGATTTTGGGTGAGGTTACGCCCCAGGGTCAAGGGCGGCAAATGGTGTGGTCCAGCGATCAACGTCATCGGCATCACCCCTGAACAAGAGCATTTCACGCGTACCGGTATCGCGTCCATGTCTGGCCGGGCTTCATTTCGCATGCTCCAGGCCTTTTTCTGCGCGAATTGCTGTCAGAATCGTTGAGTACGGGATCAGCATGTACGGTTGCGAGCGATCGCCGTCGTGTCCGGCTGCCTCTAGTGAGGCGCCATTGGACAACCACTCGGGCTTCATCAACACCGCGGAATGAACGCCAGGAGCATGTTTCTGACAGCGGCCTCGCGGTCCCGCCGGTCCACGGGTGCCTCCAGCGTCATCAGCTGTCGGCAATACTGATAGACTCAAATGGGTGCTAGCGGACGACCGCGGACGCAGGGCTGCTTTTCGCAACATTTGCACTGCATTTGCATCGCGATAGCTTCAATTTTTTCGAGATTGGCGAGGTAGGCTCCCAGATGCAAAGTTGCGTGGGTGTACTGTCTGGGTGAACCGGTTTCGCTGCACGGTCATGTGACATGTGATCCAGACAGTGGACAGCGGGTACGGGGATTCCGCTGGAATGCACCATGGATCGCAGCAACCATCAATACTCGGCACCAAGTATCAGGCATCTTCTCATCGTGCGCGAATGGTTTAGGAGATGGTTGAAAAGACACGTGCAAAGTTGTTGTTATCATTTTGGCTCGGAGCCTCTACCGCAAGGTGTGGGGGCCGAACCCAAGGGTGAAGTCGACATCAGCGGAAAGTCGAGCAATCACCCACGGCGGGAATGTCATCAGTTTTGGCCGTTCGAGATGTGCAGGACACAATGGTTGGCAGCCCGCGTACTCTGCACATAGCGACTGCGTGCATCCAGACGGCAGGGGTATCACAACTAGCCGCCACTCCACTTGTGCACCACAGAGATTCATTTCCGGCCCAAGCAAGAGAGCACTATTCTACACTCGAGGAGGATGATATCGGATTTCACGGCCACGAAGAAATCGTAGGCAGGCGCGGTGTTGGGAAGAAGGTTTGTCTGGCCTAGGATGCTTACAGTGACCGTTGAGGTGGGGTACGGCCGAACTGACGTGGGTGCTCCAAGATCTTGAGGGCAAGGCCATTGAAGCATAATCCACCAGGTGCGCAAACAGGGCGAAGTGGACGGACGGCAACGGGCAGGTAGCATGAGGAAGAAAGCAGCAGATGGAGAAAAAAGCTCGCAGCCGTAACGAACTGTTGAGTCTTTGATACCTCACTGGTCTGCGTAACGGAGAAAGAACGTAGGTAGGCATATTAGAATTCAAATGACTCGGGCCTATCAGAGAGAGAACCAGGCCCGAAGAAGATGCGGCTCAAGCGTGACTTAATTAGACCGATGGTGGGCGTTCGAAACTTCCTCGCTCGACATACACCGTCGCGCCCCTACACCTCCACCCACCTTTAGTTCAACCACCACGACACCCACCCCCATCAATCTCCCAGAACCACACACAACAGCCATCACCAAAGAAAAAAAGTGCAAGATGGCCGACGACGATTCTTCCGACCTGTCGTCGTTGTCGTCGCTGTCGCCAGTGCCCTCCGACATCGAGTCTGACGCCGCTCCCGAGCCGGAGCCCAAGAAGGATGGCATCCTGAAGTTCTTCCCCAAGCTCGCCAAAGGCAAGAAGGCTTCTGTGGCCAAGAAGGAAGCTTCACCGCCCCCGCGCAAGAGGTCGCCCTCTCCGCCGCACGAGAACGCATTCGAGGACAATCAAGACATCGCAGTACGTCTGTTGTCGCGTCGAGTCGCGCAAAAAACGCGGTTATTCGCGTCCCCCACGTCATAGGGCCTGCTAACAAGCCTTCAGTTCCTCGTCATGTTCCGAAGCCGATTCAACGATGCCTTCCCCAAGTCCCTGGCCAACTTTGGCCCCCAAGAGCTCGAGCGCGACATCATTGATAACCCTCCTGGCGAACGAGTCGAGGCGTTCCTCTGTGGACTCCTGTTCTTGCTCCTCAACCGCAAACAGGATGTCAAGTACGTCAATGCGCCAGCTCCGACATGGTTCATACGGGTTGCTAATTGAATTGCTAGGGCTGGTCAATACTCGAAGGCTCTGGACGATGCCCTTTCCGCACACAAGGCGCAGTGGCCGCGGGAGTGGGAGGGCGTCAACCCGCTGTCGGGGGGCAACACTTTCCACACCCTCGCACCCACCCAGAGAGTACGTGCAGAAGCCCCAAATCCTCGATGCATGTCTTTCAACCCCTCGCAGCACGCTAACTAAGTCTCTAGCTCTCTCTACTCCGAGCGTTGGCCCTGTGGTCTCTCTCCGCGTCCGAGACCGTCAAGACGATCATCAACAAGTCCTACAAGGGAAACCGCCACGAAGACGACCTGAACCAACCACTCTCTGTCCAACCGTGGGGCTCTGATAGTGACAAGAGGCGCTACTTTTTGATTGAGGGTTTAGACGACACTGCATTCCGTGTGTACCGTGAGAGCAACCCCGCCGGCTTTAATCGCACGTGGTGGTCGGTCGCCGGGTCAATCGATGAGATCAAGGCCCTCGCTGAGAAGCTGGAGACCAAGGACGGCGGACCCAAGGCCAGGAAGCTTGCTGAGAAGATGATGGCTGCAATCCCTCGGTTCGAGGCCACTGAGGAGGTGAGTTTGACTACCTCGACACCCGGATGTCTCAGCGTGCATGTGCTAATTTTTGCAGAAACGCCGTCGCAGAGAGTATCGCCAGGCCCAGAAGGCTCGTTTCAAACGCCCAGAGCCGGGCTACTCATCCTATGAGGGCCGTACAAGAGGCAAGCGTATCAAGTACAACTACTCCGACGACGAAGACTTCCTTACGGATTCCTCATACAGGCGCTCTGCGCGCAACACGGGAACCACAACACCAGCAGAACCCGCCGGGCCCGTCACCACTGCCAGCGGTCGTCAGATCAAAGCCCCGACTCGCCTCAATGCAAGCAGTGCCGCTGGTAGCGTCAACGGTGACTCTGGAGATTCTCGGCAGCAATCGCCTGCTCTTGGAGCCGGTGGCAGGCCACGCAGAGCTGCCGCAGTCAACCACGGCACCAATGGATGGTCGTCGAGAGGCACCCGCGGCCGGGGACGTGTTTCGACTGACGAGGACGAGGACGATGCTAGTGAGCCTGACCTTGGTGATGACGAAGAGGACCACGTCCCGGATGAGAGCGAGGACGAAGAAGACGACATGGACGGAGACGAACAGATGCTCGATGACGACGATGTTATTGAAGAACCGAAGAAGAGCTTGATCGTCAAGCTATCAGTAAAGAAGTCGCCGACCTCGGCAAAGACGGCCATGATTACTCCTGGGCCGGAGGATGAGGCCGCCAGCAATGGCCAGATGGATGAGATTATTGCGAAGCCCAGGGAGAAGACGCCGGAGCCTGTCATCAATGTTGCCACCAACAAGCAACCCTTGAGCCCTGCGGCACCGAAGACTTCTCTGGCTTTTAGAGGAAGCCCAGACAAGCCGCAATCTCTGCCGCAGGCCGTCGACGTCGGCCACCGAGAGTAGGCCTCTCCTGGGACCGATCTTCACGACTTTGGAGGCGTTTAGGGAAAACATACCAGATGGCGTACGGTTCATTGAACGGCACAACGGAATGAATGGGCGATTTTTTGTACGAGCAAATGCTCTGCCATAGACAGTACTACGGCCAGTACTGAGGTTATTTGACGCATTCTTTGATGCGACGGTACCCAAACGGTACCCGGTTTGCAGAGGGGTCTCTGCTTTAGTTTAGTTTAGTTGTACAGATACCATATCATTCGTGTCCTCTTTTTCATCCTAGTGTCCCCATGCGTCTATTCACAACTCCTTCCTCAGCCTCCATGTGTCTCGTTTTGGGGGCGGCAGCTTCCAGTTGTTCACGCCGTACCACCACCTGCGTACCCTCGCGCCGATGGAGCCGCCGTGGACCTGTGCGTTCTTGTTCCAATGGTGCCAGCCGATCAAGAACAAGTTGTAGACGACTCCTTGCGCCAAAGGCATCATGACCTGTGCTGTGTCAGTCCTGGAGCTGACTCGCAGACATCTGCAAGCCACCAACCTGGTCTCTCACTGTAATCCACGCTACCCTTCCCCAGGTATCCGCCTTGGAGATGCTGTGCAGGTAGCTCTGCTCGAATCGGAGGTCGGGCATGGGCGGAAGCTTTGCTGACCGCGGCTTGGGGTCCAGCACACTGTAGGGGATGTCGTCGTCGAGCTCGTCATCGTCGAGGTCATCGTGCGACGAGACGGGTTCTAATGTCACCGGCTCCTTCTCCGAAGCGGCTGTGGTGGGGTTGAGATCGTGATCTGGGGACGGGGCACGGTTAATGTGCGCTGTCTGTATCGTCTCGGCGATCTGAATGGGCACGTTGGCGGCCATTGTGGGCTGTGCGGCGTTTGTCTGGGGCGGTGTTGATGATGGCGATGGCCCGGCTGTGAGCTCGGAGTAGCTACTCTTAGGTGGTGACGGAACTGTAGGAGGTCGCGATAGAGTTGGTCCGTTAGTTGCATGGCTAGCGTGAATGCATCAGGACGATGAGTAGTATCCGTTTAGATGCATGGGCTCTTCGCCAGCTGAGGTCATGGCCTTTTCCCAACCTTCCACTTAAGGTAGCGGCAGAGATCGAGTGGGGCTGGATGGGCAACTACAGGTACGAAGGGAGTAACAGGTGCACACATGGCTTTGTCTCAAACCTCTGCAGTCTGCGCCTGTGCCTCTGTGGTGTTTGCTGACTCTATCCATGGGGACAAGCTGTGCCCGTTGACTCATTTCTCGCGACATCCGATGAAATGCGAAACTCAGCTGGGCAAATCCGAAGATTTTATCTTGCGTACCTTACCTTGCCTGACCAAACTTCGGTTTGTTTGAGTGAACCATGGGGGCGGCTCCAGCAATGACGACGGTACGTGCGGGCTGCGGGAGAACCTGGAAGGGTGCAGCAGCCCAGCTGGTGCGCTGTAACTGGACGTCCCCAGTGGCTGAATGGCTAGGCACCCAGTACCACTATGACTCGCTTGCGGTTTAGCGCCCTAGGACGGGATTGGGTGTGTCCCCAGTCAGGCCCAATCCTTGTGCGGTGACAGCACAAAAAATCGACCTACATACGTGGAGCATCAAGTTTTCTTTCCTCGCAACACCGCATCGCATCGCACGCATCGGGAGAACCGCGCGACGACGACGACAAACCCCTCACCGTCACGCGACCGCGTACCCTTCATTTTGTTTTCGAGTTCGTTAATTTCCCCGACCTCAAGATGGCGGACGCTCAGAAGGACGAGGCCGAGAAGAACGTGAGTAGTCATTTTGCACAATTTAACGGAGCCCCTCCTTTTGCCCCGCGTTCCAAGACTGTGTGCAGTGTGCAGGCCAGGCTGACTGATGCGTTTGTTGCCATACAGATCGAGATATGGAAGGTGAAGAAGCTCATCAAGCGCCTCGAGGCCGCTCGTGGTAACGGCACATCCATGATCTCCCTCATCATCCGTACGTCCTTCCGCCGTGATGCCGCCGCCGCGACCCCATTTGACTGACCCCACCACAGCTCCCAAGGATCAGATCTCGCGTGCCGCCAAGATGTTGGCTGAAGAATACGTACGTCTCGTCCCTCTCATGCCGAGTGCGAACGACTGCTGACACTATCGCGCCCAGGGTACTGCCTCAAACATCAAGTCCAGAGTCAACAGACAGTCCGTCCTTTCGGCCATTACCTCCACCCAGCAGCGTCTCAAGCTGTACAACAAGGTCCCCCCCAACGGCCTGGTCGTCTACTGTGGTGAAATTTTGACCTCGGAAGGCAAGGAAAGGAAGGTCAACATCGATTTCGAGCCCTTCAAGCCCATCAACACCTCCCTCTACCTGTGTGACAACAAGTTCCACACCGAGGCCTTGGCCGAGCTGCTCGAGTCTGACCAGAGATTCGGTTTCATCATCATGGACGGTAACGGAGCCCTATTCGGTACTCTTTCCGGAAACACCAGAGACATTGTCCACAAGTTCTCGGTCGATCTCCCCAAGAAGCACGGCCGTGGTGGTCAGTCCGCCCTGCGTTTCGCCCGTCTCCGTGAGGAAAAGCGCCACAACTATGTCCGCAAGGTTGCCGAGTTGGCCGTCCAGAACTTCATCACCAACGACAAGGTCAACGTCGCCGGTCTGATTCTGGCTGGTTCTGCCGATTTCAAGAACGACCTTAACGCCTCCGACATGTTCGACGGCCGTCTGGCTTCCAAGGTTATCAAGGTTGTTGACGTCTCCTACGGCGGTGAGAACGGCTTCAACCAGGCTATCGAGCTGTCCTCCGAGACCCTCGGTAACGTCAAGTTCATCCAGGAAAAGAAGCTTATTGGAAAGTACTTTGAGGAGATCAGCCAGGACACTGGCCGCGTCTGCTACGGTATTGAAGATACCCTGAAGGCTCTGGAGCTCGGCGCCGTCGAGACCCTGATTGTTTTCGAGAACCTGGAGATCACCCGCTGGAAGCTCAAGGATAGCCAAAACGCCGAGCACATTCTGCACACCACCAAGCAGCAGGAGGCCTCCGGCCGTGATGCCTTCTTGGACAAGGAGACCGGCCAGGAGATGGAAGTTGTCTCCCAGGAGTCTTTCCTTGAGTGGATTGCGGAGCACTACAAGGATTTCGGTACCAACCTCGAGTTCGTCTCGGACCGTTCCACGGAAGGAAACCAGTTCGTCAAGGGATTCGGTGGTATCGGTGGTATCCTCCGATACAAGGTGAACTTTGAGCAGTTGGCTGATATCGACGACGATGATGAATACTATGACGGTATGCTCCTCGAGATGATACCTCGCACAACAGTGGCTGACGTTTTACAGATTGACCTTCCGAATCCCTCGAGATTGAGGGATCGACTCAAGCATCGTCTCTAACGCATAACAGCGAAGAGGAGTCCGCGCGCGCGGCGCCGCAGCCCGCCAACGCGCCGGCCCGCGCGCCCGTGGCCGCTCATCGGCTCTTCGCGGAAAGAAGCCCGACGAGCCCGGCTACCCTCACGCACCAAGTGGCGCGCCCGAGCCCGCTTCGGTCTGTTATGAAGGCCTCTTGAGTTGAGAACTAGTCTACAGGTACGTTGATGAATGATACATAGGTGGGGGGTGTGACTGACAACTCGCAGATACTCCTCTAGTAGGTAGAGGACAATTCAAAGCGGTCGGGAGGCGGCCGCTTGTTTGCGACTAGATAGAATGAAGTCAATATATTGCGTAGTCACTCCTTGAACATTGTGCCTTAAATTTGAAAAGTGAAATATAGGAAGCGGTTGCTTGTTCCCATGTGGGGCGAATTACTCCAGCCGAACCTTGAATGACGAACCGTCTTGTAAATGGGCACGGTGATCATGCCCGGTCTGAATGGTTCCTATTGGTTTCTATTTTGCGAGCCTCGCTGTACATTGAACCCTACTTGAGCCATCTTCAGCAGCTCTGTGATGAGGGCACTGTCAGATATGCAATTATCACATATACGCTGAATACTTGCATAACCACGTCAATTTCCTGGCTTCCTTAATCTACCTTGTGTAAGTCTCATCAACAGCCAATATGAGGCCGTTCATCCACCGGCTTCATGCCTTCAATCGAAACATCTCAACACATCATGCCACCCCTTCATTGGAAGCGGGCATCGCTCAAATCCTGCACAAGAGCAAAGACGTACCAGACCACCTCTCCCCGACCTCTTCACATTTGCTAAACCTCCTGTTCTCTGACATATTCGCTGCGTCCTCAAAAACATCTCCCCGGGAGTACCCTCATGATGCGAAGTCCGCGTCATTCCTCCCGCAGGGCCACCACCTCGCTTATTTCCCACTCCAGTCCCCGCCCTCGGGGCTGATGCCAGACGGCACAGACCCAGACCACTGCCCCGGCGCGCCCTTCACCCGCCGTCTCTGGGCAGGGGGCGAGGTCAGGTTTCGCGAAAGCTGGGAGGACGAGCTGCGTCTGGATGGCAGACGCGTCGCCTGTGTCGAGAGCGTGGAGGACGTCCGGCCTGAGAAGGGCCGGGTGTGGGTTGAGCTGTGGCGGCGGTACGGCGCTGCTGCTGCGGCGGGTAAGGGCCCTGCGATTGAGGAAAGAAGGACTCTTGCCTTTTTGCCCGATGTAGATATGCCGTCCTCTCCCAGGAGAGGTTTGAAACGTACGTTTGGGCGTCAGTGATGGAAGTGAGTGGGATGTTAACCAGAGACAGCGCCGCATCAGCCGACATATTCTCTCACCATCACGCCTTCGCAGAACCTCCTGACGAACTTTAGCGCGTTGACGTATAACGCTCACGCGATCCATCTTGATCCGGCGTGGGCTAGGCAGGAGGGCCATCCGGCGACACTGGTCCATGGACCGTTGACCCTGGCTCTCGTGCTTGCCTTTTTTAACCAGAAAGGCCAGCGGGTAAGATGGTATGGGTATCGAAACCTGGCACCACTTTATTGCGGCCGGGAGATGACAGTTTGTTTGAGGAGGAAGGAGGACGGTGAAGAGAAGAAGTGGGATGTTTGGATTCAGGATGCTGAAGGAGGAATGGCCGTGAAGGGCACAGCTACGACTATTCATGGCTAAACAGCTGTTCGAATTGGGGCTGATTAGGTCAGTCAGCTACGCCTTAGTCCAGGTCTTTGAACGATCCAGGCGGAACAATTCCATTCAATGAGGAGCTCTTTTGCTGTCATTGGTAAACAGAAGTATAACACACAACCACGAACAGAAGAAAACGTTCCCGACAGAATACTCTAAACAAGCCACTGCATGTTCACCAGTTCAGGAACCATTCAGCCGCCAGCGACCGTCTCCTCCTCCCAGGCGGGAAAAGCAGGAGCGTCCCCTCCAGAACACTTGTACACGACATCCTGGCTCTGCTGGGTGTTGAATCCAAGAATGACATCCCCCGTGCTGTTCTTGACCTCCAGTCTGAGACCTCCAGGCCCGTTTCTGTTGTCCCAGTAGACACGCAAAGGAATGTATGCCGACTCAGTGAACACGAAAGTGTCGACGAGCCTGGACTGCCCCGGCTCCGCATAGAGTCCATACACGTCGCTGTTGCCAGCGGCGAACGAACCCGACTTGGCATTGTTGCCGAACCACAGAAGCAGGTCATCGTCCGGCTCGTTGGCGAAGACGGTGTAGACTCCGGGCGTGACGTTGATATAGCCACGGTGCTGGACGATGCCGCACGTCGAGGTTGTTCCTGCCGGGCCCTGGGTTCCGTAGAGTCTCAGAGGGCTGAAGGCTTCATCCCAGTCGTGGGAGAACCCGATGCTTGGGGTCACGCCGGTGAGAACCGGGGTTCTGCCCCCTATGAGGCGGTTGAGGTCAAAATTGCGCGGTCTGTTGCTCCGGACTCTGATGTAGTTCTGGCACAGATCCGAGTTAAAGTCAATGGAGTAAAGAGCATACTCGAGGCCCGGGGTGCACGTGGGTGTGCTGGCGCTGGAAGAGGTGGTCGTGGTCGAGCTGAAAGTCGGGCTCGGCGGCTCCGGAGTAGAGGAAACCGGGCTGTCCGAGATGGTCGAGCTGGGAGACGCAGACGAGGTCGACGAAGGCCCAGGCCTCACGACTGTGATCGTGGTTGCCTTGACGCCTTCGAAGCACTGGCAAGCGGACCAGTACGCGGTAACGTCGGGGCACGACGAGGCGTAAGCAGGCTTCGTGCCTGTGATCACAGGAGCGGAAGCCTGGCGGGGACCATGGACATTGCTCTTGGCGGCAGAAGGCGCGGCGCCAGCCCTAATGTACAGAGTAAGCAAGTGCTCGTGAAGCTTAGGCTGGGGGTCACGGACTCTGTCACAGTGGTGGTGACGAAAGCCGCACAGAGCGACGATCTTGAGGACAAAGACGGGTCCTTTCGAGCAGTACCAACGACTTGGCGGCCGCAGTTGTTGTTACAGATCGATGCCGCTGTCAATGAGGGGAGCGCCAGGGCGATCTGGAGAAGAACATTGTGCTTCATCTTGAGATGAGAAGAATGGTAGTGGTAAGAGTCTGAAGATGTTGGATGATGAAGAGACTTGTTGTAAAGCGATCGATGACCAGACTATTTATACCTTATTTCCAGCTTCATTCAACTACATGCGTGGCTCATCACGATACTATTTCGCGACGCTCACCAGTTGACCAAACATCGTTAACGCTTGTCGAACTAATTTCCACCCACCAGCTGGGGTCGAACATGGCGACATGGAACCGGAGATCCCGGTGTGGTATTTTGTAGAGATCTGGATGTAAGGTTACCCCATATATCGACATTTCCGAGACAGATTCTGGGGAGTTTACGCTCAAGTTCACCCCTGCGCAAGCCACCCAAACCGCCGCTCTGGAGCTTCCTCCCTTGCTGAACGCCATCGCATGCCGATGACCAAACACGGCCCAGACGACTGGGTGGGTGTCAATTCAGCTTCGAAGCGAGGTGATGTTTTTGGTTGGCTAGTGTCCGAACATGTGGTAGACAAGAAGTAATGCTGAACGAATTGACTCTGTCGGAGGTGCCAGAGACTCAGTGGCTGCAAGGAGGAATGGAAGGAAGGCTGAGTTGCAGTCAACCGCGTTTTCTCACTACAACAGGACGATTCGCGAAATCCAAAAGAATGAATACGACGTGGGTGAGATCTATCGCTTGCTTGTAGCGTCCTAGGTTTGGCCAACTGAAATCTCCCTTGACTGCTGGGATTATGTCCACGAACAGGCGATTCTGTTCTGTCGGGGTACCACCACTTAGATCATCGAGGATTTGACAGCCTTCATCTGGGGTTCATCCATTTTCCCTGCCCAGAAGCAAAATTAGTCGACATGAAGGATGTGGAAATATTACGAGATGTCACTTCGTCGTGATGACCTTGCTAAGTATGTTTCCCTCTATTCGCCATCCTTTGGGATCTGATACTGGTTGCCAAATGCGCATATGGACTTTCAGCACATAACAACTTTATTTGCTATAGTCAAACCTCTATGTATATGTCACAGCTTTCCGTTGTTTCCCTGCCTTCTAAACAGCTCCCTTAACTCGCGACCATAATCGTTTCCATTGGGGAGTCTCTGTATCGTGTGGATGTGATACTTCGCAGGCTCTTCATTGGTAAGAAACACGCCAGAGTGATGATCGAACTCGAACAACGCCACAGGGCTCTGGATTCGATAGTAAAAGGGGTCAGCTGGGCCGAAGTGGCCGATCCAGGCGAAATAAGTCTCCGATAGGTATGCTCGTATGTGCTCCAGCCTGTGCTTGAGCGGTTCAGGCGGCAGGAGTACCAAAAAGTCAGAGACAATCGACATGAGCAACTCTTGCTGCTCCGTTGTCATTTCGGTGACTAGCACGCCCTCGTATGCAATGATCCTGTTGTCGTGAAAAGCGCCAGCCAAATGTCTCTAGTCAATCAAGTCAGCAGAAGGCCAGATGTTCAGCGTCAATGAGCATGGTTACCTGATCAGCTGGGTGCCATCGATCTTCCGACATGGCTGGATCATGCATTTTGGAGTACACTTGGGCTTTCTGCTGTATCTCTGGGGACAGAGACTGCATAAGGCGCAATCCAAGCTGGCTCTCATTCGCACAGAGAGTCAAGCCCTTGTCGGGGCCGTCGTCAATGATCTGGGAACATGTCAGCCGACTCAACTTCAATAATCCATTCTGAGAACTGACGCTTGGCTCGGCGCCAATGAAAACAGGACCTATCGCCATCTGTTCTCCAGCGATAAACACATTGAGAGCGAGGTGGTGGCCGTACAACATGAACGCCCATGGCGCCGTCTCAGAAGGCTCGCCGAATATTGTGAAGCTTGGTACGGACAGTCAGTCAGACTTTTCTGAAAAAGACGATGGACTCGCTCACAAGTAGCTGTGCTCATTCAATATGGCTTCCTTGCCACAAATCTCCCCAAGAAACTTGTTGGTCTTCATAGCACCCTGAACTTTGGCGAAGCCGCTTTCACTCAAAGATTGCTTGAGAATTTTCATGACGGCGTCGACCTTGACCTTGTCAATGTGTTCGAGCCGCAGACCGCACTTGAATATGACTATTTCTGGATTGATCCACTTTCTCCTGTTATCTTCAGTTTGAGCATGACTCTCGAGATCTGAATCAAGACTTGCCCAACTCACCACTCTTCAGAATCCAGGTCTCTCACTGCGGCCTCCTTCTCACCAGGGCTGAGGAGTCGTATGAAATCATGAGCTGCTTTCACCTTAAGACAGGTCAGTATATGAAATCTTTCGTCACTGGTGACGAACCATTTGCTTCGTGGGTGCTCCCTCATTCTGGAGTTTGTACAGTCCATCCCTTTTCTGACCATCGGTCGTGATTCCATGGAATGGAGTGTCGAGGTTTGAAGAACGGCTGCCCCATATCGCCTTGAATCTCTCGTTCTTCACGATGGCCTCCGAGTACTTGTAAGGGTCGCTGGTGTCGATGCCGTCGAACCGAGCCCAATCTGAGACACATTGTTAGTCCGATCTGCTCGCAAATCTCGCACATCTCCCGACTTTCCTTTTGGGGGCACAAATCGATGATAGTCGAACGCGCGGGTCTCTTCCTCAGACTGAGCCATCTTGAATGAGAAACAAAACAGCTTTCCGAGAATCCCGCATCGAAGGGGCCTTTGAGGGGTAGATGTGACAAGCCGATGTTGCAACAGAAAGTAACGCACACACGTAGTCAGCGAACCGGATTCGTCCCATCAACCCCAACTCCCCGAACCCCGTCTCCTTGGAAATAGGAGTTAATTGCGAAGTCGCTCCCTTTTTTATACAAATCCGGTCAAGCTCCCCGCTCGGAGCTCCGACAAAGACACTCGTCCATATCTCAGTTGAAAGTCATTTTTCTAGAAGAAACACACGCAATTATGTCGTCGTTTTGCACCGCTGTTTCTCTCCCACATACACCTTCATCGAAAGGTCCGCCTACAGCATGGCCGTCACAGAGTCCAATGGAGCAGGCGCAAAGTACGCGAACGTCAACCTGACCCCTGACGCTACGCCTTATGACTCTGTTCTCTTTCAAGATATTGTGCGACAGCTCGAAGAAGTCGAAAATGGCCAGATTCGCGAAGTTGCGCCCGCAATAGTTGCGAGTACTGCTCTGTCCTCAGTGAACAACGACCTAGACTAACCATCACCAGGGCTCTATGCTTTGCGCTCAGCATCGAGGGGACTCGCTGCCGAAGCTCTTTCGCGATGTTACTACAGACAAGGACGACGAAGAAGTCAAAGCTTTGTTCGCAACCTTCAGAACTGCCCTCACCCTGATCTGGCCATTCATCGGCTTGCCTCAGTGTGTCCCAGCCAGCTTGGGCTTGGTTGGGGAGATGCGAGAACGTGACATCTTCATGACCGACCAGATGGACAGGTAAGACCTGAATGCACTTCATGTGGCCAAGCGATGGTAAAACTAACAAGAGCCGATTCGGTTCAGACCTTTTCTGTCCGAGGCCAACTGGCATCAAAAGGGGCTGGAGACTAGGAAGACCATTTACCGCACCGCGGCGAATTCAGAAGTCATGAATATGATGGGTGGTTTTTTCCCTGAGCTGAGTGAGTATCCCTACTCGACCAGGCTGTGACCGCACACTCACACTTCCAACCAGCATACATGACCCACGCGGTCGTCTTTGGGTTCGTGATCGGGGGCTCTGAGAAGACGCAAGGCCTCCCGCTCTGCGAGACCATCATTGCTGGTGCAGTGGCCGCGCTGGGGGCTACGAGGCAGACAAAGACTCACTTCAAAGGTGCCATGGGCTTGGGCATCTCGGCGGCGGCGGTTCAGGCCGTCTGGCAGGCCGCAGAACAGGTGGCAGAATGGAATGGCGGCAAACTTCCCGCGCAGATTGACGTTGCGGCATTGGCGGATGAGGTTGGGATGAGGCTCGAGAGCCGAGGCAGAATGTAGACAACCTGTGCAGACAGAGGCTTCTCGAAGAGCACTTCCTCCCCACAGAGGTAGCACTTGAAAGCTTGAGATACTCGGTGCCCCGAGACGAGAGCGTATGGTGGAGATGCCATTAAACGAGTTTAGTTGACGCCATTTGCTAAATTTCTGAGGGTTGGCGCCGCGGACAAGTCATTAGGTTCTAAGGTCTCGCGTTTTGAACCGGTTCGTGTTTCTGCCAGACATCAGATGGCACGTGTAATTTAACAGACAAGGGCATATTTATGGCCATCCAGAAACGATTCAGGACTTCATATTCCTCAATCAATCAGGGACTGACAGGTCGGTACTGGGAATGGTGGAGTTTCCCGTCTTAATGTTGACCCCTTTTGTCTTTCGCTTGGGCAGAGGCTGAAATGCGATACTAGAGCCGCATTGAGAGAACTTGGTTTGTGTTGCATGCCTGGAGTAGTAGCTGCTTCCTGGAGCATTTAACATGTTTCCCCTTCCTCCTCCCCTTCCTCCTCCCCTCCCCTCTCGAACCGGCTCCTGCCTTACCTACAACACACTCCCCAAGCAGTACATCCTTCCTTCCACAAGGCCTGGATATGGTATTTAAGGAGAAATGTTGGGGAAATCTTCAACACAGTACGAGTCGTCCCAATGATGTAAAACAGGGGATCTTGAGTGGGCTGCTGCTCACAGAGGGCTGAGGGTTACAAATGGTCGACTGAGGGACACATTCACATGACTCTTTGAAATATAAGCGGGGGTTATTTTTTGCTCCTTTGAAAACCAGACTGGCAAGAATAAAATCGCGCGCCTCGCCACATAATTTGTGTGTACTTGGTTTTGGGATGCATCATTTGGCCGCTGAGGCAAAACAAGTTGAAGTATTCGCATCAGGTGATAATTGAACACTGTCGTTCGCGATTTGCCCATTTTCTTGGTCGAACCAACTAGACCAACGATTCTCGCACGGTGGGAGTCTCTACTCATGGACGTTGTGGAAGGTCGAGGCAAGAGTTGGTCCTGCCCTGTGAGGGTCTTGTCGGGTTCGGGACGATCCTCCGGGGAAGGCCTGCTCAAGTAAGGTAGGTAGGTTCTCGTGGGTAAGCGCCTTCTACTCTCTCCCTAGCCACCTCCTCTTGAGATTCTTCCACGTTTGAGCCGCAAAGATCTATTGATGGAATAGGCACTGCTATCAAGCCTAACCAATAGTGACGAACTACGTCTGGAGGGATTTCAACAGAGAAGGGCTTTTTTCTCCATGGGATAACCCTGATAACAGATCAGGAGAACTCAGATATGCAATCCGAGGAGTCTTACAATTCTTCCCTCGAGGGAGAAACAGCTCCGTGATTGTCTTCTCATAACTGTTCCCGCATGCTTTTCATCACTGCCCCCGTAGGTCTAAACCCACCGTGGAACAGACGTGGAGCGACGGAGCTTGCTTTATAGTACAAGCAGGGACCTTCCGAGGCATCCCTCAAGCAGGGTCAGCAGCATCACCTGCACACCTGCCTCCCGTCGCAGGCAGAGTTGACCGTGCCTTTAGATTGTCAAAACGTGTCGAAAGATTCCAACACAGTCTCAATGGTGATCCATCCATTGTAACCCCTGAGCCAGTAGCTATGCTACAATGTGCTAAGACCATAGTAAATTGAGGGAGGAAGAGATTCCTCAAGGGGCGGGCGGAGTTCTTCGTTTTATACATTTCGAACCTCCCCCTCTTTTTGCAAGCTTTCCTACCTTGAGTGATACTCATGCTAAGGGTACCAAAACTTTCGCCGCATTTACCTCTATGGCTACTTGAATTTTTCAACGTGACTTCCACGTGCATTTGGGTGCGTAACAGGTTTTCCGGGTACATACATGGGGAGGCCCCAACTGAGACCTTAAAAATAGCCGCACACCAGAGCTCGAGAGCCGCATCAAGCAACCGCCTTCGATCAAGAGAGCACGGGATATGGTTGTGTCACTGGACTTCAATCTATTTCGAGGTGCAGAAGGAACTCAGTCGGCTGTAATGGTGAGTTTGAAAGCTTAAAGAGGTCAACACGGAGTGGTGTGCCATGCTAGCAACACAAGAGGCAACAAGGTCAAAACGACCTTTGCCTCGTATTCATCGAACTCTAGCACAAAAATTGCCAGAAGAAACACCTTCTTTAGTCCAGATGAGCATCTCCACAGACACATTCGGCAATGCGCGACAAATCACCATGCAGCCTGGCCGTTTACGTCTCGAGTGGAAGAATGTCAGAACGATAAGGCAAAGTCGCATAGAGATATTACGTTTAATTATCATTATTCTAAAGGAGTATTGTCTAAGCTCAATTCTTAACCTCGCTAAACTCACGCGCAGTCCTGCTGCTGCGCGCCAGGCGGTCACCGTATCTGATGAAGATGAAGGGAATCACGCCCATGGCCAGCGCGATAAAACCCAATACCGAAGGCGCCCAGTGCACCCCGAGATTGGTGTACATGCTGTTGGCTGCCAGGGGCAGTGTGATGGCTCCGATGGATCGCGTCATGCTGGCGGCTGCATGTGCCGACGCAGAGTACTGGCGGAAGACGTCCGTCAAATAGTTGATCATGCCCATGAAAAGGAGTTGGAATCCGCAGCCAAAGAAGATGCCGCTCAGCATTGGGATGATTGGAGACGTTGACGGCCATACGGTCCAACCGAGCCAGAAGAGGGAGATGACCATTCTGAGAGCCGAGTCAGCTATTTGGCCGAGAGGCTTACAATGACTCAAGGTACTTACAGGGGAGAGGCAAAGCATGCGAGAGGCAGTCTGCGATAGATTTCGTTCTTCGTCCACTCCGCGCCAGCCTTGCTCTGACGATCATGGTACCAAGTGAAGGCACCGAAGAAAAAAAGCGAGATGATTACACCAACGGCCTCTGTGTTGAAATTGTCAGATGAGTTGGATGGGGGAGTACGGTTGAACTTACGAGGAATGAAGGCCAAACCGGCCATCGCGGGAGAAAGCCCATAGAACCCTTGGAAAATGACGGGATATGCTTGGAACATAAGGTAAAAGACAGAGTATGCCAACGCAAGGTATGCAGAGGTGCAAAACAGGATCGGCTCGGTCACAAGGAGCGTCACTGGGCGAAGGAAAATCTTTTGGACGTCAAACGGCTTCAGCTCAAGTTGCTGCCTGTTCTCGTCATCTACACCTTGCTTCTTGATCGTCTTCTTGACGGCCTTGTTGTGGAGAACCGGCGCATATGTTTCCGGCAGGGTGAGAACTAGAGGCAAACCCAGCGCAGCGATCATTCCAGCAATCCAAAACGGCCAACGCCACGACATTGGTGATGAGAACCCCGAGATGATGGGTCCAATCAGGGGTCCAATGGTCGTCACACTCATGTAGAGAGCCATGGCGTTGCCTCGGACGGAGGCGTCATCAAAGATGTCGGCATAGAGCCCGCCGAGGACACTTGTGGGTGCAGCGGCGTTGATGCCGCAGAGCAAGCGGAAGACCAGAAGCGCTGCGTAGTTGGGAGCCCCTGAGCAAGCGAGCATGAAGATGAGGTAGCCGAGGAACGTTCCAATGAGGACTGGACGGCGACCGATATATTCGCTGAGAGGAGCGAAGACAAGAGGACCAATGACTATTGGGAAATGTCAGAATTGAGACGCATTACAGAGTGCCGCCTAAGCATAGCATACCGTAGCCCACCATGAAGAGTGAGTTGAGGAGGATGAGATGAACGCGGTTGGTTACACCAAATTCGGCGCTAATGGCGTTGAGAGCGCCTGAGGGCATCGATGAGCCCAAGTTTCCGTTGAATGTACATGTGAATCCGGCAATGACAATGTGCAATTTTCTCATCTGGGACGTGTCAGGGCTGGCACTCGCGTCGCATGCAGATTGGGAACTTGGCGTACCGGCGAGAATTTTGTCGCATCAACTACTTGGTGTTTCTCCCACGAGGGATCGTCAGAGACGTTTCCCTGGTCCTCAACGTCGATAGCTGGCTGGTTGTCCTGGACAAACCCTCCAAAGCGCTCGGTGTCTGAACCCATGTTCACGGTTGATGTGGGCTGAGAGTTCACTCAGAATTCAACGAGAAATGTCTTTTTGAACTTGGCCTGACACCAGAGCACCACCGCCAGACTCGACAACAGGAGCGATTGCCCTTTTGTATTCTCATTTTACGTACTCTGTGTTTCATTGACCGCTTGAAAAATTTCTCGAACTATTACAATTCTTTTCATGTGGCTCAAAGGCAGTTTCGTGTAGTAATATGGGCCACTTGGACGCAGGGAAACGGTGCAAGTCCATTGGCTCCTTTCGCCGAGTGTCTCGAGTCGGGCATCGACTGGTTGACAAAGCGGGTCAAGTCTCTCCAGATCATTGGCCAATTCCGCCGAGCACATGAAAACCGACCAAAAAACAAACTTCCGAGCCCTGCTCGGTTTTTTCCTCCTTCATCCACAATTGGGGCGACACAACCCAACTCCCGACTCATACCAGTCGAGATGCTCCCGCAACCCGACGTTAACCTTCCAACCTTTGTGGCCTTCTCGGTAATAGGGCCCCTCATCTCGTCAATCCATCGGTAATGGTGACAGCAGGGCGTGCTGTTGGGCGCAGGGCGCATCAAAGCCCGATGTCGAAAAGATCGAGAACCAGTATGGAACCCGATCTCGGCTCTTGACTATGTTTGTGTTGAGCCAGATCCTCTGCTAACTATGCCGCAGACGGAAGAGCATGTCTGACATGTCACCAGAGGAAAGTCAAGTGCGATATCCTCGAAAAGGGCGCTCCTTGCTCAAAGTGCCAGGCGAACAACATTTCCGACTGTCAGATTTATGAGAAGAAGAGAACCCGGCTGTCGGCTCGCACTGCCCAGAGCTCCAACGTGCCAATCCAACCACGATCAGTCGGCTCCCAGTCCGTGACGGCGCCTGCAACACCCATCCCGGCGAGATCCAGTCCCTGGGATGATGTCGCCGCTTCCGTTCCGCGGCCAAGCTCAGCATGCGATGCAACCGCTCAGGCCGACCGCGCCGGCGACGAAGATGCCACGCGCAACATGGCCGACTTTCTAAATAGGCAAGAAGTCGAGTTTCCAGAGATCACACGCTGTGGCCGCCTATTTTTCATCGGCACCGAGTTCTCCAACCTCCACTATCTGGTGCGGCAGCGCTCGAGACGGCCAGACCAGAGCGTACTGCATTTTGGAAGCCAGCCGCTGGCCCCAAAGGTACCGTCAGTACCGGCCGAGGTCCTCGAGCTACCGCCAAAGGCCTTGGCTGATGAACTGGTCAAGGCATACTTTGCCCATGTCAACCGTGGCTTGCCCATCATTGACGAAGAAGACTTCATGAGGATTTACAATGGGACGGAGGGCAGCGGCCACGTCCCTCGATGCAGGCCACATTGCAGACCATTGTCCTTGTTGTTGCTCAATGCCGTCTTCCTCGTCGGGGCACGCGTGCTCGAAACGGGAAGAGAAGAGATCAAGTCCCTCCGGTCCGTATTCTTCAGAAGGACCAAGGCTCTCTTTGACTGCCGTTTTGAGCAACATCGCGAGGTTTACTTGCAGGCCTCGCTCCTCCTGACCTGGAAGTGCGACGACCTCGAAGACATTGTTTCCAACACTTGGCATTGGGTAGGTGTCGCGACGCGGACGGCATTTGGCATGGGCATGCATCGAGATGCGACACCCTCTAGTCTGAACGCCATGGATAAACGGCTGTGGATTCGGCTGTGGTGGATTCTCTTTCAGTTCGACGTAATAGGATCTACATCCTACGGCCGGCCTCAAGCCATGCAAGTTGCTATTCCACACGCTCCAGATCTCTTACTTATGCTGACGGCCGATGATGACATTAGAAACCTTGACGAGTCAGACGTGCCGCCACTAGAAGAGCAACATTTCGAGGGCATATTGAACGCAGAACACGACTTCACCATCCAGCACACACGCCTCTGCCTCATTTTCTCCAAAGCAATGCGAAAGAGGGTCGCCCTCCGATCCACCGCCGCAGACCGAGCCGCCGCAACCGCAGAAGCGGATGCTGCGCTGGCAGACTTGATAACACATCTTCCCGAAAAACTCCAAAACTCCAAATCTGACCCCAACCCATGGCAGGCAATGTTTCATCTCACGTATAATAACTTCCTGATTCTGCTTCACCGGCCTTCTCCCAGGCAAGACCCAGAGAGCCCCCCGTCTACATCAGACACCGACCTTAGCATATGTTGCGACGCAGCCATCACAATCTGCTCCATTTTCGAGTCCATGCGGAATAGGAACTTATTGGCTAAGCTCTGGATACCAAGCATCCATGTGCTCTTTACCGCTCTAGTGCATGTATCAGATCAGATGCACTCCTCTAACCCGCTCATCGTGGCCAAGTCCAAACGCCTCTTTGACTCGCTGATAGCAACGTTGCATGCCCTCAAGGACCAGTGGTTGTACGCGCAGAGTCTCTTGGCGCTGTTTGAGGGGCGGAATGTAGCAGGACCCAGGCGGAATCGACTCCAGGCCGCAGAGTCTTCTGGGGACGGTGATCCTCTCCGTCACGGTGGTGGCTCCGGTATGGCTCAACCCCAAGACAACATCGGAATTACAAATGGTGTTCTCAACGGCTCGATTGCAGGCTTGCCAGTCAGCAGCCAATCTGGACAACCCGTACCGGCCTACTTGGCGCCCATCAATCTTGATCCGGCTGACCCAAGGCGCCTTGGGGTTCACCAACAAGATGCCGTTGTCGGGGACGTTGCTGCGAACAATCACATTTATGGCACGAGCTTTGTCGGAGATGATCTAGGCCTTGCTGGTGATGCTGATGACATGGACATGCTACAGGTGCCTTCGGCGTTGGAGTTGCTTCTCGCAGGCGTTGGCAATGATTTTGGCTTCCATTACTGATTCCGAGCTCAAGTGCTCGCCCCCATGCCCTTGTTTAGAAAACGTGCGACGACCCTATCAAAGCTTCAGCAGGTCTCACCCTCCATGCCTCTTTTTGGCAGAAATCTGCTGTACCCGATAGTGATGCTCAGCTTGACCTCAATACACACACAATTCAAATTCAGTTCATGGATCGGGTTAACCGAAAAGCTCTGGTCGTCTTGAGGGGAATTTGTTCATTTCTCTAAAGGATCTATGTCTAAGTTCTCTCGCCGTCTAGTCGAGACAATAGCTCACTTTTGGGAGCTTCATCAGCCCACGTCCTTCTCGGCAACTCAAAAGTAGACGACACACGGCCATACGACATGCCTCCCAGCTGGGCAATAGGCCTCAACTTGTCCAGTTCAATGTGGCTGGCATCGACATTCGTCGCATCTTCCTGCACCCAGAACCGCGACGCCTTGATCAACACCATACCGGCCACACTCTTCCCCTCCCCATCCGAGTGGTCACTGAACTCCTTGATATCAACGACCTTCCCCTCGATGGACAAAACAGACTCCCGCACGCGGGAGGGCCGCACCGTCGTCGAGGGCGCTTCATGCAGACCCGAGATGTCCCACTCCGACACCCCGTACGGGGCGTCGAGCGACGTCGCGTTGACGGCCTCGATCATGGTCTCGGACACCGTGTTGATGACGCACTCGCCCGAGTCCTTGAGGTTGCGGTACGTGTCCTTGGACCGGCCGGCCCTCGCCGAGAAGCCGACCACGAACATGGGCGGGTCGTGGTCGATGACCTGGAAGTAGCTGAACGGGGCGAGGTTCTTCGTCGTGCCGTCGCCGGAGACGGTGCTGATGAACCCGACCGGCCGCGGCGCGATGCCGGAGATGAGCAGACGGTAGTTGTTGATGGCCGGCCTGTCCGCGGCGTAAGGATCGATTTCGAGGTGGTTCTTGGGCGTGGATCCCGGGACTCCATCGCCGTACTGCCAGTTGGGGTTCGGGTGCTTGGTGACTTGTATCGGGGTATTGGACTTGTCGAAATCAGGTCGGTTTGCTTGTCTCTTATCGAAGTCGTGAATCTTTTCTACTATTTGGCTGCTCGGGACTGGTGGCGCCGGAGTCGCCGCTGCTGCGGAGGAAGTCATCCTGACGAGTGAAATTGGTGCCGCCTGAAATGACCCGGGTCGAGAGAAACGCGAGCTTGTCATTGTTAGTGTCGGTCCTCAACAAGCACATAGAATGAGACACACCTCTGGATAACGCACCGTGCCACAGATCTTGCAATCATTGTTAAGCTTGGCAATTTTTTCAGCAAATCTTCAGCGAGCTCACTGCGAATCAAGTTTCTCACGACGTAGTGATTTCGAAAAAATTTAACTGCACTTAATCCGGACGCAATCATCAGGTGAGAGCGAGAAGCTCGACGAGATCACGCAAAGTCGGCTGCGCGATCCCGACGGGTGTGGGGCCGGAAAGTGCCCCCCGACGCGAGCCCGGGGGACCATGTCCCGGAACTTCACCCGAAGCTGTACTTATCTTCAGGGTGTTTGCCGACTGTGGTTATCAGACTGAACGCATTCTGAGATCTACTGTCCGGAAGTTCAAACTTATGGACTTGGTTGGAGATACGCTCGTGTAAAACCCAACTCGACTCCCCCGAACGGGCTTGTTTTTTGACATGCCTATGTCGGATTGACGAAGCAAAAAAAAAAAAAAAAAAAAAAAAAAAAGAAAGGGAAAATCAAGAGAAAGGGAGTCATCCGAACATCCGAACTACAAAAAGGATCTGTAGGAGGTTAGCATGCTACAGGGCTGAAAGGGGGTCAGCCTTAACCACTGCGGCATACACACTCAACAAGCGATCGGAGCCTCGTGACAGAACAGGTGAGGAAACTGCCCTATTCACCCTCAGCGTGGGGTGAGACGCCTAAAGAGCCTTAAGAAGAAAGGTGACATAAATGTCCCACAATCGCTCACCTTCACTTTAGCAATCGGATAAGGGACGGTAAGTGAATTCAGGACCTGGATTAGTTAAAATAATGAAGTCAGAGGGTGCGGTGTTCTTCAGCCCAACGACCTCATGCCGTGGGGATTTTCTTAGATTGCCTAAGATTATCTAGTGCTTGCAATCTTGACTTTTAACTCCAGGCAAATATGGCTGTATATAAATACGACAGGCAGAGACTACTGAATCACCTAGGCTTGCTGATCTGGCGATGCCCGTTGATCACCGCTTCCGCAAACGTTCCTCGCGTCCCAGCTTTCTCTACCGTAATCAGCGATTGAATTGTTCCTCCCCTTGGTGACGAGATCGCTTCCCTCACCGAAGCAGTCTGCTCTCCGTTCTCCAACACCGTCACCAGATCTTGTAATCCTTGAATCACTAACTCTCTGGCTTCAGACCTCTTGAGCCCCCCGGCAACAGCACCATCCAAGAGGCCATCTAGAGGCACCGAGATAGTGGCGATGCTGGCCGCAACTAGCATGGAACCGATGTTTATCAAGTCAGGCGGCAAGACCCTCGACTTTCCAACGCGTGCGAAAATAGATTCCAAAACGTTTGTTTCCTGATCTGGCAGGTTGTCGGGAACTTCCAACACTGTCATCGACTGCCGATAGCGACACGCAACGGTGGGAAGAGCACGGGTGAAATGTATGCATCTCTTGCTCTCCTTTTCAACGTCATTCGACAATGCCAGCTCGTTGAGCTCTTTGACCGTCAGCCCTGCGAGCATGCTGACTACCAGCTTTCCCTCGAGCGCATCCAGGAAGCCCGGGGTTTCGAATACCCCCGCAGCCATGTATGGTTTGAAGCCGAGTATGACGATGCCTGCTTCTTCAGCAGCCTTCACCGGCTCGCCGTGGATGACTTTGACGCGGCCGGCGTCCTCTCCCAGTGCCTCGGAAAACATACCGGCCGATCTCGAAGTCTTTGTACACGCAATGAAACGGAATCCGTCTGGCTTTGGTACTTCTGAATTAGGCGATACGCATGAATCGAGAAGCCCGCGGAGTAGAGCAGAGCCCATGGAGCCTGTCGTACATTCGTCAGCATTCTATCAGTTGAGGTGATGAGTGGCATACCACAGCCGATGATGGCGATAGTCTGCTTCTCTGTTGCCATGGCGGATTGCTGCGTGTCGTGACTCTGAGGACTGTCCGGAGGCTTGCGTTTGACGTTTTGAACGCATTAGAATCGCCATTATTCCAAAAATCTAGTTGGTTTTAGCTGTCGGGTCGCAGCGTTTCTCCCGACACCCTCGGTAATTATTGACGAGGACCCGCAGGGATCAACTTCCGCCAGCGCCTCCTCCGAATCCGCAGTCCATCGCTGCCAAGAAGTCGGGCATGTCCAACTGATCGGCCCAATCGAGTAACGCATTGGAGGAAGGTTCGAGGCAATCCATCGCGGTAAAGTCCCTGTCCGGCTCATCGACGTACTCCGGCACCGGCCACTGGGTGTCGTCTCCGGGATGCAACCCGGATGGATCGGAGGGCCCAGAGTAGCGAGGTGTAATCGATTCCAACGTCCTCGCTAGCTGCTGAAGCTCTTGTTGACGCAGCGGTGCGACTACACTGCCATTATCGACCATATGCTGGAGTATGTGGTTGATGTCGTCCCGCCACCCGTTGTCGGGAAGCAGAGAAGGGCTTACAACCCGGAGGAGATGAAGTAGAAATGCCGAAGAGTACGCATCCTCCAAGTCGAAAGGCATGAAGGATTCTGAAATCGCTCTGGTCAGCTAACATGTTCTCGCGTAGATCAGACACGTAAGAACTACCTAGCAGGTCCCCTTCACTAAGCACAAACAGGGTCCGAAGAGTTGTACGCGCCGAGTCAACACAGGACCGCAGAATCGACGACATGGGCGGCCGCAGTTCTAGGCTCTCGAACTGTTCGGAGTTTGCGCGCTCTAGATGCAAGTGAAGAGCACACATGACCAGAGGCCTGGTTGTCAATACGACACACTGTGAGTCTCTTCGTCAGCTGCGAAGGGCCCTGGTGTCGATACAATGATCCAAGATTATACATACGTGGTGATACGAAAGCATCAACCTCGAGACTGTTCGAGATGCTCTTGGAATCTGCCCGTCAAAGTGCGCGTTCAAAAGATCATGGAGCTCCGTTGAAATCTGCGCCAGTGTGCGAAGATTTGACTGAATGTGTTTGACAAGAGAGCCGTCGAACTCGTGACCAACACCATACACAGCTACAAAACGTCAGTATTCTTTTGCTTCTCAGTTCGAATCTTTGATGGGCTCACTCGTGAGAATCGTCGCCATCAACCGTGACAAGCGCACGTGTAGAGACATGCTCAGAGCCTCCAGAGAGTTGCTAGTCAGGCACGGAAGCTTGGCGGTGATCTGCTGGTTATGGATGCCGGCGGTGCCACCCATAAGCGCAGAGAACTCGGAATCGATAATGTGAGTAACCCAGAAGATGAGATTGTATCGGCGTGAGAGTTCGGGTCCAAAGATGTGTTCCGGCATATGGCGGTGCATACCTATACACACACAAAGGCGCGACGCCTGCCCAATCTGCGAATACGATCAGTCGTCTTGAGTGAGGATCTGGCAACTTGGAAGCTTACATATTGGAACGCCGCGACTCTCAGATCGATGGATTGCAGATAGACGGCTGCTAGCACAAGAACCTGCACCGAAAGCAACGAGTCCCCGCCCAAGTCGCCTTGCCTAGGCAGCAGCGTCATTGCTCTTTCTGCAAACGCGTGGCCCGGTGGCTTCCCACGAGCGCATCTCCTCCGAAGCACAAACGCTTTTCCGAACGCCAGGATGAGAAGGTGCTGGGCGTACCAGAGCCGACAAGAGGCCGCCTTACGTGCCGGGTTTTCGTACAACTCATCGAGGTTTTTGAGGTAAATGCTTTCGTCTACCAAATGGTTTAGCAGGCCAAAATATGACTTGGCTGCGTAAAACAACGACTTTGAAAAGTCGATGGAAGGCAAGTCGGACACGACTGGGACGTCGCCGCGCTGGGTGGAATGCCATTCCATCTCGCAGGCTTTACCATCGGTGTTGAAGGGGTCGAGTGTGCTTTCGGTCCCTGGCGACATCGTTCTGCCTAATAGTCCAAGAACCCTGCGACAGAACGCCCAAGATGAGGACGGCGCCATGTACCCTGCAGGGAGAATCAATTGACAGTCGGGCTTTGAGGAGGCGCGATGGTTGCAGGGGTTCACTTACAGAATCGTCCTTCTGCAGGGCGGAATGGAGGGTCATGCTCTTCAGGGCGACTCTTCTTGAGTAATGACTGGATTTCATCGTGATCTGTTGAATCATCATCGTCCACAGGTCTGCCCAAGGATGATGCAGCGGTGCCGACTGAAAGGGGTCTGTCGCCAGGTGCATTTGTTGAGTTTGTCTCCGCTTGATCTAAGATGTTCCTCATCTCAGCAATTCGATCGAATAAAGATAGAGCATTGCAAATACTTTGATCAGTGATGCCAGATTCTCCGCGGTTCCTGCTTGATTGGATCGTCTCCTCTCGGATTATGCTGGCTCCTACGGTCCTCAATCGTCTGGCGTTATTTCGCCGGTCCAAAGTCGGCAAGATTTCCCTCTCGATTGTCCCATCTTCAATATCAGTTGATGATGGCCTTGGGGTGATTTCTTCAGGTGAACCACGCTCCCCTCTCGTCAACTGGCGGGATTGTTGGAGTTCCAACAGATAACTGCAGCACAGGGAACAAGACACGAGGTCAGCACAAAGATGAACTCCGAGAGACCAGGAAAATTGAGTCTACTGGCGGACCTCTCAGGGATGAGAACTCGTTTAATTCCCGGCGCATATACACATGTTTCGCTCTGACGCTCACACCGAGCGCATGGCTGCCGGCCGGAGCATTTGACTTTCATTGACCGACATCTCTCACAACTAAGGTATGTCTGTCAGCTCGGGTCAGACCTGTATCCGAGACACGTACGCTCTGGAGCATTTCTTGGTGACGCGATGATCATTCCGTGGAGTCGACATGGTCTGTAAGCCTGAAGCGTGGTCAGGACGGTGTTGTGTCGGAGGCACGATCCCGACGTCTTATGTAGCGAACGGGGCAGGCCGCTTTCGGAGGCCGGCACGACGACCCTCGGGACCGGGGGCCCGATATGCGGGAGGCCCCACGATAGCTCCTTATCTACAAACGCGGGGTGGCGGGGTCAACATCCTAGCTGCATCACCATGCGACGCAGTGATCTCGTAATGCGCTACATTTGGGTCGTCTACGCGACAGAGACATGGCACTTGAAGACGAAAATAGCAGGTAATAGCGGTGGCTGCCGACGACAACCCAAAGCATTCAGACATCACCAATTGTTCTGCTGAGATTGTCCAAGAAACTCAATTGACTGGCTGCGCTAGTTCACGAACTGTCAAGCATCATTCGACGGGTACTGCACCCTCTCCAAAGGAACAAAATCCTCCTTGATAGACCTCACGCTTGTAAAACGCTGCAGGTGCGCCATGGTGCCGGTCTTGTCGTTCGTGCCAGAGTCACGGCTTCCGCCGAATGGCTGTTGAGCCACCAGCGAGCCGGTGCACTTGCTATTGATATACAGCATTCCCGCAGCATGCTTCAGTGCAGTCTGCGCCTCTCTGGACGCGTAGGGATCCTTGGCAAAGATGCTGCCGGTGAGGCCATAACGGGACGTTGTATCCAGGGTCTTCAGCGTCTGCTCCCACTCCTCATCGGGATAAACGTACACGCCTAGGATGGGACCGAACAGCTCGCGAGACATGATATCATGCCGCGGGTTGGACGTCTTGTACACGGTCGGGTGAACAAAGAACCCCTCAGCTTTGGAAGCCTTACCGCCCGCGACGAGCTCCAGCTCCGGGTCCGTCTTGGCATCCTCAATTACCTTGGCGAGCTTGTCGAATGAGCGCTCGTGGATGACTGGCGTGATGAAGTTGGTAAAGTCCTCCACATCCCCCACTTTGAGCTGTGCGATCTGCTCTTCCAGGTGACGGCGGAACTCGGGCCAGACAGACTCAGGTACGTACGCTCTTGACAGCGCGGAGCACTTTTGTCCCTGGTATTCGAACGCCGCGCGAACTGCGTGAAATGCAGCGCTCTTGACGTCGGCAGAGGGGTGGAGGATGGTCCAGTTCTTCCCCCCGGTCTCTCCAACGACGCGAGGGTAAGAGTTGTAAGTGCCCCTGCCGACGTGGTCGCCAATCTTCTTCTGGATGCCTTTGAAGACCTGAGTTGAACCGATGAAGCTCAGACCCGCGAATTCGGGTCGTTTGAGAATGGTGTCCGTCACCTCCTCCGCGTCTCCAGGAAGTAGCTGTACCACGTCCTTGGGCAGACCGGCTTCCAGAAGGATTTGGTGGAGAAGATAGGCGGAATGTAGGGCAGAATCCGAAGGTTTCCAAATCACAACGTTTCCGAGCAGCGCAGAGGGCCCGATGAGCGTGGCTCCGAGGGCAGTGAAGTTGAACGGAGCAATGGCGTAGACGAAGCCCTCCAAAGGCCGGTACTCTAGCTTGTTCCACTGCCCTGACGGGTGAACCTTTGGCTGCTGGGAGAAGAGGGACCAGGCCTCCTGGATATAGTAACGGAAGAAGTCGACAGTCTCAGTAGGCGCCTCGATTTCTGCCTGCCACACGTTCTTGCCTTGACCTATCATCGTTGACGCAACGATTTCCAGGCGGTATTTGCCGGCAATGAGCTCCGACGCTCGCAGGAAGATGGCCGCGCGATCTTCAAACGGGAGAGCCTCCCAGGCTGGCTTGGCTTTGAGAGCAGCATCCACAGCGGCGTTGACTTGCTCCGAGTCTGCAATGGCGTATTCGGCGACTGCTTCGCGATGCTTGGAGGGGTTTAGCTGCCGGCGTGTTGAATGCGAGTTCACCTGTCTGGGTCAGTCGTCTGTCCTGCACATGGAAGCGAGATTGCGTCTCACCTTGACGCCGTTGATGGTTATCGGGACTTTAACCGGCATCTGGCTTTTCAACTTTCGCAGTGATTCCAGGAGACGAGCCCTCTCTGGGGAGCCTTTGGCGTATTCCAACTACAAACCCATAGGTTAGATCGATCACTCCCTTTCCTCAAGTAGCATGGAAGACGCACCATCGGTTCATTCTCAAATTTGGGAGGGTGAAGAAGGCTCAGAGACCTCCTGCTAAAACCCAGGGGGTGAGTGCGTGAGGTGCACACTCGCGACACAGGACGTCCATAGCTCTGGGAGGTGCAAAAGGTCCTCATACTTGCCATTTTGGAACTAAGTGAGTGTTGGAGCACAGAATCAATCTCTGTGCGCGGTCGCTCCTTGGCTTTTCAATGCGATAAGCTGGGCCCAGATGGTCGAGGGCTCGGGAACGCCATCCCGACCCCCATTCTCGCGGCCCCCTCAGCCGCCGATATCCGGTAGATAGCACAGAGGATCACGGGGTAATGCAAGATGGTCTCACATGACGATGAGAAGAAATGAGGGGTAGCCATGGCAAGATAAGATGTCGGGATGGTATCCCGGGCATAGGAGTTGATAGCGAGTGTAGTGTACGTAACTCAAAAGATGATGAGCAAAGTTCCGGATGTCGTTGTTTATCAGATAGGTTTCGCCCAGAGTAATGCGCAAAAGAGTACGATTAGACAAACATTCATACTGTCCCCCAACCACTCCGTCCAACATGCCCCTTGTTACTGTTGCTACAAGGCCAAACGTCAAGGCCGCCAGTATCCTTGGCGTACGCTTCTCCAGTCATGTCCAGTTAGTCAAGCAGAACAATTGGAACACTGAGAAGAAGCTGCCAACAGCACTCTCTCGACTACCAACAAAAACGCTCCTTAGATCATTGCTCCTGACTTCCTTGATGCGCAGGGGCTGGATCTCACGTCCCTCTCTGGCTGCACTCGACTATATCACCAAGTCAAAGAATACGCTCCTTAACCCCGACAAGAACCCTGCCCTGAACAAGCTGCTGCGCTGGACCATCTATAATCACTTTGCGGCAGGCACATGCCACCAGGAAGTCGTTCGATCTGCCGCGGAGACCAAGAGCATCGGATATCATGGAGTCATCATGGGCTACGCCAAGGAGTTTGTGCTTGAAAACCCATCTGTCTCACAGTCCGTCGAGGTCGACAATGGGTACCGCCAATGCCACTACCGGGTGGTGGAGGATTGGAAGCAGGGTACGTTGGAAACCCTCCGCATGATTCAACCTGGAGACTTTCTCGCCGTCAAGTAAGCTTCCTTTCATAGACCTACAAGACTGCATCGCTTACTCTATGAATAGAATCACAGGAGCAGGCGCCATAGCTATCGATGCCATGATGACGCGGAAGCCGATGCCCACAGTCATCGCTGATGCCATGGACGAGATCTGCCTGGAAACGCAACGACAAGGATCCAAACTTTGGATCGATGCTGAGCAGCAAGCCCTGCAGCCCGCCCTGGACAATTGGACAATCGACCTCATGAGGAAGCACAACAAAAGCGGCCAGGCATTGGTATACAACACCATCCAGGCCTACTTGAAAGGCTCAAAGGCAAACACCCATCGCCACATTCAGCTTGCCGCCGAGGAGGGCTGGACCGTCGGCGTCAAGCTGGTTCGTGGTGCCTACATTGAGCACGAGGACCGCTCATTGATTCATGACACGAAAGAAGAGACGGACCGGTCGTATGACCTCATCGCGGATATCTTCATTGCGCAGAAAATGCCGGATGATGCAGCTCACCTGCAGTTTCCGTCCTCGGCCTTGTTCGTGGCGACGCACAACGGTGCCAGTGCCAACAAGGCGCTGGCGGCGTACCACGAGAGACTCGAAGCCGGGCTTCCCACAGTAGGCAAGCTGGACTGTGGCCAGATTACTGGCATGGCAGACGAACTCAGTTGCCAGCTGCTGCAGACCCTAGAGCAGCGGCCGAGGGGGGTGAAAGACGCGAGTTCGTCTCCTGGGGTTTTCAAATATCTGATTTGGGGGTCGGTTTCCGAGTGTCTTGGGTATCTACACCGTAGGGCTATCGAGAATCGGGACGGGGTTGAGCGTACGCAGCACATGGTTGCAGCGCTCAAGAGGGAGCTGCGCCGGCGAGTACTCGGCTAAGGCTGCCTGGTTGAAGAAGTCAGTTATACTTCTGCACATGGAAATGATATGAAGTTTTACCGCCATGGTGAAAATGAAAAAGCAATGGACCCAAAAATGATAATAAACCCACGGTACGGGATTCGAACCCGTAATCCTCTGGCATGTTCACGTACGACGTGAGGGGACCAGAGTCGCTACCCGGTGCGTCACCGCGGCTTGTTGATTTGTTGGAGGTTCAGAGTGAGGATTGGAAACAAAGAGACGGCAGTTTGTTGCGAGCTTGATTGTGGGCTTGGTTGGGGAAGGCGCGAGGAAAGAAGGTGGTTGAAACGTAGCTCGTTCCTTCCTTCTTTCCCTAAGGTATGATCCCACACACCACCAAGAAATAAGACGACACGTGGACCAACTAATGTAATCGAATGCGGATGAAAGGACTCAGCTGCTTACCTAGTTTTGTGACTGCTTGTTAGCAAGGAACGAGACGGAGGACGTTGATGTTTCCCAAGGAAGCAGGAGGAAGCTTCTCACCTGGCCATGGCATCGCTGCTGATGAACGTTCAAAAAGAGCTTTCCCTCCAATCTGATGGGTATCATTTGAATATTTCCAGCCCCTCTTCACGGCAAATAAGATGCTCATTCCGCAAAGACATTTACAAAATCGCACTTATGAACAAGTAGAAATATGGTCCCCTGCTAGAGACAGCAAACTCGTGCCGTGAAATCTGTTCCTGCTCTACACACTTGATAACGCATCGTGGCACGTTCGTATCGTGCTTGAAAAATATCAAAGTCTGCTATTGCACCACGCATGTCGTCGGAGCATAACCCACGACGAGAAAACCCCCGAAGCTTGGCTTCCATCATCAACGCTGCTGCATGGCCAACCCCGGAGCCGATCTGACCCTGCAGTGAGGCCCGCAGACAGAGTATCATCCATTGGACGCGCCGCCGGCCGCATGGATGGGGAGACCGATGAAGACCTTGCCACGAAACAACGGGCAGGTTGCACGGAGAGCCAAGCGTGTCCGCAGCCCAGACAGAGCTGGCGTCGAATTGACTTTGTGGAAACTCGGCCGAGCGCACCGGACCCCAGCACCACTCTAGCGGGGGTACCCGGCGCCATCCCCCCGCCAAGACCTGCACGCGAGAGCCTCCGTCACCTGTGCTTTCGCGCCGGAGCCCCCACCACCAACAGACGCGTCCCGGGACAGCCGCCAACCTAACCTTCCACCGTCAACCGCAAAATCGCAATCGCATCCCGACGACTACACATCCTCTTCCCCCGCCTCACCAGCGAAAATGTCCGCCCCAGATAACTCACAACCACAACCACCGCCCGACAACGAAGCGCAGCAGCAACCCGAGCAGCAGCAGCAGCAGCAGATCAAAACATCACAGTCGCAAGAAGACCAACAGCAGCAACAGCAGATCCAAGATCAAGACCAACAACAGCAGCCGCCCGCCTCCCCGCCCCTGCCGCAGAAACACACCGCCGTCACCCCGGGCGTGCGCGCGGGCTACTTCATAAAGACGTACGACCGCGCCCTCCAAAAGACGCTCGAGACAGTCCGCTACGACAACTTCGCGTCCTGCTTCCCGACCATCGCCGCCCACGCGCCAAACACCCTGCGCAACGTGCAGAAGCAGATGGTCGACTACCTCGAGGAGCGTTGCAACGTGCGTCTGCTTCTTCTCTGCTCCCATTGAGGATGTATTCCCAGAGGGAAACCAACTGCTGACGGTCTATAATCCTGCAGAAAGATTTCCAATCGATCCTCGGCGACCGCGACGTTGTCAAGAAGCTCAACGAGCTGGAGAGCCTAGTCAGCGACGCCGAGAGGAGGCGGCAGGAAAGCAACAACAATGCCGGCGACGACGCCGAAGAACCAATCCCGTACGCGCCACCCCTAACCTCCTTCCTTTACAGCTCACTGGCCCAATTCACAAGTTACTGACACCAAAGCTTTGCCCAGACCGCACCTGCTGCCCCCTGACGACGTGATCACAGCTCACCTTGCCCCGCGGCTTGCATCACAACAATCACACCTGAACGCGCGCCTGCAGAACACCCAGGCGTCCAACGAGTCCCTCTTCGCCGCGATACAGTCCCAGCGCGCCGAGATCGAGGCCCTGCTGGCGCAACTGGAGGGCCACGTTGCCGACATTGACGGTGCGAACGCCATGTTGGGGGACGTGGCGCCCGAGTTGGCGTCGGAGGCGCGGGATGCCGAGGCGCAGATGTCGGGGATGTGAAGGGGGGAGGGAGGCTCCATCGCTGGGTCTTGGCGTTGATAGGGGTCAACGACTACGTTGCAATCGCGATACCAATTTGCATTCGGAGGGCGTGTGTGTCAAATAGGCGGCGTGGAGATGAAGTTATGATCATACCCAGGGTTCAGGCGTTTACGGTAGGCCACAGGCTCATGTCACTATTCGGCAGAGTCGACATCACCAAACGAAAAAAAGAGACAGATTAAGTTTCATTGTGTCCATTGTCAGCCATGTCGCAGTAAACTATATACAACCACTGCGTAGCCCCGAATATTGACGGGAGCTCTGGCCCCAACCGTTCACACACAGCTATGCTCGCAAAGGCCTCGCAATGCCGACGCTCAGTATGCGCAATAGACAAGTAAAGGAAATGGAGCGACGGTGTGTCCCGCCGCCTGCAACGCCGCCCAATGATGAACATGCACGGCCAGTAATGCTCCCTCGCCCGCCATGATGACAAAGGAGATGGAAGAGGAAATGGGTAAAGAGAAAACAAGCCATCCGAATGCTGATGCCGCGCCGTACCGCCCCGAGTTTTGTTTTGGCCGCCAGACCTTTGCCCTGGTAGTGGGTAAAAGAAAAACCGTTTCGTTCGAATCTTGCGATTCTTCCTCGTTTCAATGTAAAGAGAAGGCCCCGTGTGAAGGGGATGGGGTATGGATATATGTGCAGTAGAGTGGGTATATGAGGGGAAACGTTGGCAAGGCTAGATCCTCCTGTTTTCGGTGTGGATGACTTGCCACGGTCCGAAGAAGTCGATCTCGCCGTACGCTGGTGGAAGCACCCGGATCATCCGACCCGTCGCCCAGTCCACGAACCACTGCTTTCCTTTGCTGATGATGTAATTTGATTTGCGCGGGCTCTTGAACAAGAGCACCGAGTAGCAAAGCTTGGCATAGAGCAGATCGTGGGCGGAGGTCCACTGGTGTTCGGGCGACCACTTTCCAGTGTCGGGGTCGATGGCTTCATTGGGATACGACGTCGTCGACAACCGACTGCTGATGGGCTCGTTGTTCCGGGCGTATGACGGACCGACGGTCGACTGCGTGTCTGCCGCGATGCTGTCGAGGGTGTTGAGAACATCGAGAACAGGCTCGTTTGACGACGCCGGGAACGGATCGGGCTCGTTCGAGGCCACCTGGCGCAGGATAGGACTGATGGGCCGTGGCGTGGGTACCGGGTAGTGATTCGTCTGTGCCGGTGTCTGACCACGGAACCAGCGGATACGTTGGATGCGGGGGATGCTCTGGTCGCGGGGATAGTCGCGCTCGTCGATGGGTGCCGCGACGTCGATGGCAGCGAACAATGCCTCCAGCCACTTGACAAAGGTGGTCAGCTCTATACATGAGAGCAGGAACTGATCCGTCTCGGCCCTGACACGGATGGTATATCGACGTCTGGGTGGCAGTCAGTTTCTTGGCAAGTCTTGGCATCAAAATGAGGCTGAGAATAGAGGTAACCTACTTCTTGTAATCGGCAGCAATGCCCACGTCGGCGTGCTGGAGACTGTAAGTCCTGTCGAGCGAGGACTTCTTGACCCACGGCGGGTTGTCTGGCGAGATTGTCGGCCCGTCCCTCGACCTGCCCCATCCCCAATCCTTCTTCACGTTGTAGAAATTCAAGGCGGTGCCGCGCAGCTGCACAAAGGTGGTGTGCCAATTCCTGTCTTCGGCCCTCTTTGTGGTGTTTTCCACCTCCATCTTCTTCACCCATACCCCCTCTAACTCAATGTCGCACGAGTACTCGGGCAGCTTCTCCTGGACCCCATAGTCGGCGACGGCGCTGCCGGCAAGGGGACGTCTTAGGCCGGACTCCCTCTCGTAGGGAGGTGGTTGAGATGGTCGTCTTAAAGGGGAAGTCATGACTTCCTGGTAGAAATAGTCCTCCTCCATCGATAGTCGCCGCCGGAGAGGCGGCGGCTGGGCAGCGGTAGTAGATGGTCCATTTCCGCGGTCTTCACTGCGGGGATCCATGGGGTGGGCGAGGTTTTATATGACAGGAGGACTGTTGTGAGCCGGCGACAGGCGAGTCGTGTCAGGCCAGGACCACCATGCGGCGGGTGGCAGCGGAGGCAGAGGCCCGTTCCCGTGCGTCTGTCTCGGACGGGTTCCCTTGCGACGGGGGATTTCACGAGATGTGCTTGGCCCTGGGGTTATGCCGACCCGCAAATGTTCATGGTGAGGGCCTTTTGTCGGCGGCTCTTTTCCAAGGGACGCACGGTGCAGAGTAACGTAAAACAAATGCAAAAGGGCCTGGAGCGAGGACCGGTAGATGAGATGAGATCGAGGGGAGTGGGTAAAACAAAGTCAGGTACGTATGTATGGATGGCGGATGGAGACGTAGTGTAGTGTGTGAGAGAAGGATGGAGACGTGGAACGGGGTTGTGGAAGGACTGGAGCCCGCGCGCGGTGTGGTGTGTGGATTCTCGGTTCAGTCCACGAGAGAGAGAGGAGTGTGAGATGAAGATGTGCCTGCCGGGTTTGTTACTCTAGCGAGAAGCGAGAGCAGCGGTGGCGATGATGAGCGACAGGTCTAAGAGCGCCTCTTCCAACGACCGGGCGTCCAACCGTTCGTGCCTTGGCTGAGGTAGGAGAAGAAGCCACTTGAGCAGAAGGGGAGAAGACTGAGAGAGGGACAGAGAGTTGGGTTGAAAAGTCAAGGTTGCAATGGGCTGGCGGGAGGAGTGAAGCGGAGCGGGAGGCGTCGAGTCATCGAGTGGTGCCGGGCGCAAAAGAAGAGCCGCTTAACAAGGTTGGACTGAATAGGAAGCCCGATGAAGGGAGGAGTAGTAGTAGCAGGAGCAGCAGCAGGCCAGCAGCAGGCGCAGAGGCAGAGGCAGAGGCAGAGCAAGCGCAGGACAGCCGGATATGAGGGAAGCGGTTCCCGTGCAGGGCCGACGACGCGTGAGAGAATGGAGACGAAGTCCGGGCCCGTCCAACGAAGGCAGCCAGTCTGTGGTCGAGGACAAGGGCCGCAAGGGGGGACTTGGCTCTGGGGGCGGATCTCATGCGCATCGGACGTCGGGTCAGACCAGGGACAGGGCTTGTTGAAGAGCAGCGGGTGGAACGTCGTAGAGTTGCTGGCAGGAACGGCGTGATATGGAGAAAGAATAGAGTAACAGAAACCCGCCGTGCGTAAGGGTTAGGTACGAATAGGTACGGTGCGGTCCTGTGTGGTGTGTGATCCAACGTCCTGGGGTCGGCCGAAAGAGTTGTGCAGTAGCACTCGCCGTAGTCCTCCTAGTTAATAGGTGGTGGTCCAGAGACAGAGACAGAGGATGATGGATGGATGGGTGGATGAGACCTCGATCGAAGCAAGGGCGTGCAGAGAGGCGTGAGCCGAGTGAAACAACAGTTCAACCGCGGCAAGGTACGAAGTACCTTACAACGAATACTGAATGTCGTCGACGATGGGAGGAGGGAAAAGCCAGAAGGGCATGCGCTCCAGACGGGATTCGTTGGAAAAGCGTGGGAGGCGCGGTTCGAGCTGGATGCAATGCGATAGAATGGATGCGAAGACGAGGGAGGCGCGCTACAATCGGGCCCTGTCGGAATTTTTGCTAGTATTAGGTGATTGATATCCGTGGAGCGTACGTAGCTTGGGGACGAATGAATGAAGGATAGGTGTGGTGAAGGGAGGGAAGAGGAGAGATGGAGGCTCGGATTCTGACCGGGCGGGAGGCGTCGGTGTATCGATAGCTTAGCGATCCATCAACCGTGGGAGACCAGGGACGTTGGCCATGCTTATCCCAAAAGGGGCCTTTTTTTGCGCTTGGGCGGGTTCGCGGAGTTTTGTACTGTGTCGTACGGAGTATCCGTATTGTAAGGTAGGTTGTCAATGAAGAGTAAACCTAAAGTTCCATGGGAATTGGAGGCCGTGGTTGGATGAACGGTTGGTCCAAGACAGGATGCGAACACGACGAGACAGGACAGGCTGGGCTGAGAGCGACGAGTTCCGGTCGTCTGGCTTGCCCAGCGATAGTGGATGAACCAGCGACGGCGACAGCACGCACACTCCCACACACACCACGACACTCAGGTTCAGGCGGGCAGGCAAAACGGGGGTGTCACGGATGCGGCAGGCTGACATGGAATTAACAAGGGAAAGGGCCGTCAACAAGCAATTGGCATTGGCAAGGCAAGGTAGGGTAGGGCGGCGTCGGTGCCGATGATCGTCAAGACGAACCCTCGGCGCCCACTGGAAGCGCGAGTAATTCTCGGGCTCTCACTGGTTAGAGAAGACTTTAGCAGAGGAGAAGAAAAAAGAAAAAAAAGGCCCTCCTCTCCGTGGACAAGCCTGCCAGCAGGAAACAGAAACAGCAGAGCAGCGCCGAGTGGACCGAGGCCTTTTGCAGAGCGTCCTAACCCGAGTTGGTAGGTGAAAGGGTGCAGCGACCGGGGTGGCGCGGGTTCAGAGGTACTTTTTGTTGGACCAGCAGCTGGTGATGCTACCTTTACTTTGCCGTCCGTCTCGGTCTCCCACTGCGGCAGGGCAAAGGTACCTTTGTGAGGGCCGTATGCCAGGTGTGGACTGGATCGAAATACGCCGTCACCTCACCTGCTGGCAACTGGATTAGTGCTTTATAGCCCAATCCAAGGCAATCCAAGGTACGTCGCACTTCATAAGGTCCCTTAGTAAAAGGTATGGATGGATGGTAGCACGGTTAGCCGACGGGCTAGAGGGGTAATAACCCGGAGAAGAAAGACTCGATTCCAGGCTGTAAGTGGACGGCCATGTCTCATGAACATTGACAACCTCTGTATATGTGATGCAAGGCCAGGCCTACCTTGATTGTAGTTGAGGTTGTTGTCGGTCAGGTCCATGCTGAAAGACTCTACTCATGTACTAGACTCTACAGAGTGGTGTACCTGCCTTAGGTAGTGTTGATGACTGGCCGTGAATTGTTTGAAGCAGAAGCAGACGAGAGGTCAGGTGGATGGATGGATGAAAGCCCTCAAGATGAGAATGGCACCAATTACGGCATCACGGCACAGAAAAGGCGGGGGGTCTAGGCCCCCGGCGTGGCCCCTCCACTGTGCCTATGCCTATGCCTGTGCCTGTGCCTGTGCCTTGGCTCTCGAGTCGGACCTGGCCCGACAAAAAGTCATTGTCTCTGTCCATTGTTGCATTCTCTCTAGCCTCTCAACATGGTCTCATGTCATGTCAAGTATAGCAGGTGGTATTCAAATAGTTTCTCCGTATGCCACAACAACTGCCTAGAACACAACTCGGCCGCGGCCGTAATTGCTGTCGACAACTGCAACTTTACTCGCAACCAACCAGCAGCCCGGGCTGCCTTGCGAGAATAGTACGCGTCATTCAATTTACCCGCAACCTCAGATTAAACGTTCGGGAACACAGACAATGCCTGTTTGTTCGCACAGGCGCTGCGCTGCGCTGCCTTGCTCCATGACAGTGGAAGCGTCCGAGACTCCGTGAGTAAACGTTTCTCCGTATTATACACCTGCTGCTTGGATGACAGAACCTGGCCGTCGGGATCTGCTGGAACGTACCTATCGAGAAAGGCACCTTACTTACTCTGTAGTACCTACCCTAAGGAAGGTACTGCGTACCTAGGTAAGGTAAGTAAGCGGGCAGTCGCCATGCCCGACAACGAGGCCAACACCAAGACCAAACAGGTCAGATATCCGCCGCCGTGCCCGTACCAACACAATTCCTCATTTGCAAACCCCGGTCTCTCCTATCCATTCCGCCAACTTGCCGCGCAATCAAGCATTTCCTAACCATCCATGTCGCCATGCCTTTTCCCTCGTCCTCGGTGGCCTAAGCTGAGGCACGCCGTAGACGCCAGCCGGTCCCGAGCTGCCTGCCACCACTGCCCTCCGTCCCTCTCCGCCCGCCCTCGTCCTCGCTGGGCTTTGCTACCTCGGAGATCTCTTGGCTCTGCACTGCAAGTCATTGGTGGAGGGGGGGAAGCTACGGCGTGCCGTCACAACGGGAGCAAGGCCAAGCACAATGCACATGGCGATCCCGTCCCCAAGTGGCTTGGGCACAATAATCGGCCGAGAGGCCATTCTGCCCGCTACTCGACCTTCTGCTGAAACGAGACAACCAACGGCGTATGCCTAGGGGTGGAAAAAAGCCAAGAGACACACCCATCCAAGACATTCTTCTTTTCCTCCTACGGATGGAAGCGACGCCGGGCCTGGACACTCTCTTTCTCTCTGCCCGCAGCTCGCTCACTGGCACACGGCATCTGTAGGTATGTTCGTTGACGACAAGAAACAGAAACAGACGTGCATAAACGAAACGGGAATTGGCAACGCTACGACCAGCGGCTCGTCCGAACCATCTGTCACCCTTTCGCACTCACACACACGCACATGAGCTCGCCCTCTTCGCTTAGGCGTCTGTCTTGGGCTCAGAGTCTGTCTGTTGGACACCGATAATTGGCAAACTTCCAAACGATCTTTTGCGAGCGGAGCCACCTCAGCCCTCCCCTTTACCACGCTAATTAAGGTACGACCCCATGTCAACCAACTGATAGCGGTCAGCCAGCCAGCCATCAGCAACAGCCTCCAGCTGCTGTCCCTCACCATTCGTGCCAGCCGTACGCAGTACTCTGTGAGATCTTACAGAACCCATGGCGCAGCAAATCGGACTTTTGCTAGACCCCTTCACAATGGCGTCGCCAGTCCCGTTTCATCCAAAGTCTGCCGTTCAAGCTCGACGCCTCGTTTCGTTCGGTTCGTGCTCTCCAGCTCACTCAAATCACTCTGCTGGTCTCGTCGTCTTGCCGCGTCGGAGCACTCTCCGCGGCATCCGGGCTGTTAGATTCTGTCCCGTCACGGCGTCAACCACTTTACCCCCGTCAATCAATCACGCCATGCCTGCCAGGGCAAGGACCATCCAGTCCCCTCCGATACCCCAGAAAACTTTCCTTCGGGTGCTCTTCGGCGCAGCGCGCTGGGCGTCAGCCAGAGTGCAAATCCAAATGCTTAACGCCGCCCGC